GATGAGGGCATGGAAGGGAGAGAGGAAGTTAATATAATCGGGTGAGGCGTGAGTGTTGGGGGAAAAGGAGGTGAGTGTTGAAAGGGAAGGAGGGGTGAGGAGGGGAGAGGAGGGGAGAGAGGAGAGAAACCGGGCGGGGAGGGGGATGGAGGGAGAGTTCACGGTTGAATGGTTGGAAAGGGTGGGGGGAGGAGGTGGGGGGAGGGGGAGATGCGGAAAGTGCTGGGGAAATGCGGAAAAAGCAGGGGAGATGCGGAAAGAGCACGGGGAAATGCGGAAAGAGCTGGGGGAGATGCGGAAAGAGCAGGGGAGATGCGGGAAGAGCAGGGGGGGGTGCGGAATGAGTGAAGGGGGGAATGAGGTGAGGGGAGACGGGCTTACAGAGGGGTGCGGACGAGGGGAGAACAGGGCGAAATCACCTAAGAACAGAGGGGACCTGCGGGGTGAGTGGTAAGGAGACGAAATGAAAGCGGGGAAGAGAGTGGGGGGGAACGAGGAAATAGCGGGGAGAACTGAGCGAAGAACAAAATGGAGATGAGGGGTGAGCCATAAGAAGACGAGATGAAGGCGCTTAGCAAGGGGAGGGGGGGGGGAGGGGAGGTGGGGTGGGGGAACGAGGGGAGAGCGACGCGAATTGAGCAAAGAGCAGAGAGGTGAGCGGTAAGGATATGACGAAATAGCGGAAAAAGACTGGGGCGGAGCCGGGGGAACGAGGGGAGAACGGGAGAAGATCCATCCACCCATCCCCACCCATCCCCACCCACCCACACCCAACCACACCCCGTCACTCCCCCTCTCCTCCCTCCTCCCCCACCCCGCACACTTGATTACTGCTCACCTTACCCCTTCAATGCGCCTCTTGTTTTACCGTCTACGTGATAGCGGTCCGCTTCAAAGTGCCTTTCCGTAAACACCTAAAGACATCGACTAGGCGTACCGACGGTTACCACGCGCATACGAACCGACGGTATTAACGCGTCCGCATGGTAAGTGCTTATCGATGCCCGTAGTGTGTCTGCAAGTCGACGTTATCAATCCGTTCGCAAACGATCGTTACTTCCCAGGAAGCAATCTATGAAGCTGAACAAAAATCGTGTAACTGGCTACTACTGTACAAACATCTGAAGCACGCATCAGGCGGTACTTACTTCGATACTTACTTACCCTAAGCTAAGCGGGTAATAACCGCGACTAACTCAATCCACGGCGCTATAACTTAAAGTGCGATCAATTTCGAGAAGCCATGGGGGTGGAAACGGAGAAGCGACGGTAGAGTGCCAGCGTCCTTAGTGCTCAGATCTAACGAGTACCCTAGACAGGATTGAGCGAAAAGGTGTGAGTGGGTTGATAATGACTGGTGGTTGTGAGCCGGTGACGAAAACACCCTCAAATCCTATTGGCTTACAAAAATTCTTATCCCAACGCCTCCTTGCTATTTTAGCTGCCCGAACCTTGTTCACAAGCTGTGACAGAAGCTAAACTTCGTGACAGCTCAGCAGGGAAAAATTATCGACCAGTTACTCTACCACTCCGCACCTTACGCAACCTAACAAGCAACAACTGCCATGTCAGCTTCCTCCTAGAAAGTTACTCCTGCCCATCCCCAAACCTACAAACCTACGTAGTATGCTCACAAGCCCCAACCACCAGCCATACGCGTCCTCAAAAGCCTCGTTTGCAATAATACACAATGCAAACTAAACTAAACAGAAACTCTAAGCTGAAGTTGAAAAGTGTTCATTGCACTGCCACACTGTACACATTTCAGCTGCCACCAACTACATCCCACTGCTTGACTGTTGACTTCAGCTCTCCCAGCTCTCTGACACACAAGTGTTGAATCGCCGCCGCTTGAACATCGCCAAGTCTTGAACCACTTCCTCCGCTGATCAGCCGCCGCTTGAACATCGCCAAGTCTTGAACCACTTCCTCCGCTGATCAGCCGCCGCTTGAACATCGCCAAGTGTTGAACTGTTTCCTCCGCAGATCCGCCGCCGCTCGAGCTTCCACTTACCGTTGACCCTTCTTGGCCGCTAGAGGCAAACGCCTCTAGCGTTACACCCGAACACCGCGTTGAGGTGAGGGTCATTCGTTCGGGACACCTGTTTGGGAGGGGAGGGATAATAATTTCGGAAGAGAGGGACGATAATTTCGGGTTAATTTGAGATAAGAGCAAGGAGAACGACGCCTCAGGAAGATTGAGCACAGCAGTGAAGACGGCCGTTGAGGAGAGGGAAGAGGAGGAGGAGGTAAACCGGACCTAACCCAACCCCCCACCACTAGCTCCCTTAATCTAACGCTCCTAATCGTCCTAGCTGACAACTCCCGAGTGCCTGCAAAGGGAGGGGGAACGCGGGAGGGGAGATGGGGAAGGAGTCAAACTCCAGCGCAGCTCCGCCGCGCCTTAGTTCCGATGTCCGCCGATCCGCCGATCCGCCGCTCCGCTCAATCGCCGCGCCGCCGCTCGTCTGCTCCGACGCACCGCCGCCGCACCGCGCCACCGTCGTTCCGCCGCCACCCCGTCGTTCCTCGCGGATCCTGCTACAAGGGCAAACGGAATGAGTTAGAAAGAGCGAAGTAAAAAAACTACTAAAACTGAAACGACACCTCACCTTGAGAGTTGTTGATGCCCGATCTTGCTCCCGTTCGTGCTCCTGTTCCTGCTACAAGGGCAAGCAGAATGAATTAGTAAGATAGAAGTAAAAAACCACTAAAACTGAAACGACACCTCACCTTAAAGTTGTTGATGCCGTCCCCGCTGCCGCTCCGGCTCCCGTTCGTGCTCCTGTTCCTGCTACAAGGGCAAGCAGAATGAATTAGTAAGATAGAAGTAAAAAACCACTAAAACTGAAACGACACCTCACCTTAAAGTTGTTGATGCCGTCCCCGCTGCCGCTCCGGCTCCCGTTCGTGCTCCTGTTCCTGCTACAAGGGCAAGCAGAATGAATTAGTAAGATAGAAGTAAAAAACCACCAAAACTGAAACGACACCTCACCTTAAAGTTGTTGATGCCGTCCCCGCTGCCGCTCCGGCTCCCGTTCGTGCTCCTGTTCCTGCTACAAGGGCAAGCAGAATGAATTAGTAAGAGTGAGGTAAAAAACCACTTAAACTGAAACGACACCTCACCTTAAAGTTGTTGCTGCCGTCCCCCCTCCCGCTCCCGCTCCCGTTCGTGCTCCTGTTCCTGCTACAAGGGCAAGCAGAATGAATTAGTAAGAGTGAAGTAATAAACTACTAATACTGAAACGACACCGCACCATGAATGTTGTTGCTGCCGTCCCCGCTCCCGCTCACGCTCCCGTTGCTGCTCCTGTTCCTGCTACAAGGACAAGCAGAGAATGTTAGTAGTAAGCAATGAATAAACAATCATAACTGAAACGACAAGTTACCATGATATAAGTTGCTGCCGTTCCCGCTCCCGCTCCCGCTACTGCTCCTGCTACAAGGGTAAACAAAAACTGTTAGTGATTTTGAAGAAAAAACTTAAGTAAAATTGAAAGGACCCCTTACCAGGGAGGATGGTTGAAGGAGTTTCTCCAACCGCCGCGCGAGGGGCCGCGCGACGAGAGAAGGGTCGCCAACCGCCGAGCGACGAGAGAAGCGTCCGAGCGAAGCGCCGTGCCAAACATGCCGCTACACTAACTGCAGCTAACAAGGAGCACGATCAGAACCATAAGAAAAAAAAGCGAAACAGAAAACAACAATAAACGAGAAAAAAACGACGACGGAAAAGAGAAGAGCCGCCATGCGACGAGACGCGTCGCCGAGAGCCGCATGAAGCGCCGCGCGACGAGAGAAGCGTCGCCAACCGCCGAGCGACGAGAGAAGCGTCGCCGACCGCCGAGCGACGGGAGAAGCGTCGCCAACCGCCGAGCGACAGGAGAAGCGTCGCCCACCGCCGAGCGACGGGAGAAGCGTCGCCAACCGCCGAGCGACGAGAGAAGCGTCGCCAACCGCCGAGCGACGGGAGAAGCGTCGCCAACCGCCGAGCGAAGCGCAGTGCCAATCGCCGTGCGGTGGGAGAGGCATCGCCAAGAGCCGCGCCAATCGCCGCTCCACGGAGGTAGAAACGTCGCGAATCGCCGTGTGAAGCTCCAAAACAGGCCGCTTTACTAACTGCAGGTAACAACGACCACGGTCAGAACCGAATGATAAGAAAGTGAAACAGAAAACAACAGAAACGAGAAAAAAACGATGACGACAAAGAGAAGTGCCGCCATGCGACAGGACGCGTCGCCGAGAGCCGCACGAAGCGCCGCGCGACGGGAGAAGCGTCGCCAACCGCCGAGCGACAGGAGAAGCGTCGCCAAGCGCCATGCGATCGCACCACGGAAGCGACGCCAATCGCGGTGTGAATCTCCACCAACGGGCCGCTTTGCTAACTGCATCTAACAACGAACAAGGTTAGCAACTTGGATGTAAAGCGAGTATCATGCGAGGAACATCAAAGCGACGAAGAACAATAAGAACAATAAAGCGGGTGCCTTACCAAGTTGAAGCCGAAGCTCCACTAGCGACGGTCAAACCATCAGGTTGACATCCGCGCCACGTGAAGCGCCATGGTCGCCTCGCCGTCGCAAAGGAGGAAACCTTGAACTTACCTCATAGGTGACGGTGAGAAGAACCACATGGGAAGAGGACCCACACGTGAAGTCTTCATTGTTGGCGGGAAAAGGACCCACACGGGAAGAGGACCCACACGGGAAGAGGACCCACCCGGGAAGTCTTCATTGTTGGCGGGAAGAGGACCCACACGGGAAGAGGACACAACACGGGAAGTCTTCATTGTTGGCGGGAAGAGGACCCACACGGGAAGAGGACCCACACGGGAAGAGGACACAACACGGGAAGTCTTCATTGTTGGCGGGAAGAGGACCCGCACGGGAAGAGGACACAACACGGGAAGTCTTCATTGTTGGCGGGAAGAGGACCCACACGGGAAGTCTTCATTGTTGGCGGGAAGAGGACCCACACGGGAAGAGAACCCACACGGGAAGTCTTCATTGTTGGCGGAAAGAGGACCCAAACGGGAAGTCTTCATTGTTGGCGGGAAGAGGACCCACACGGGAAGTCTTCATTGTTGGCGGGAAGAGGACCCACACGGGAAGAGGACCCACACGGGAAGTCTTCATTGTTGGCGGAAAGAGGACCCACACGGGAAGAGGACCCACACGGGAAGTCTTCGTTGTTGGCGGGAAGATGACCCACACGGGAAGAGGACCCACACGGGAAGTCTTCATTGTTGGCGGGAAGAGGACCCACACGGGAAGAGGAACCACACGGGAAGAGGACCCACACGGGAAGAGGAACCACACGGGAAGAGGACCCACACGGGAAGAGGAGCCACACGGGAAGTCTTCATTGTTGGCGGGAAGAGGACCCACACGGGAAGAGGACCCACACGGGAAGTCTTCATTGTTGGCGGGAAGAGGACCCACACGGGAAGAGGACCCACACGGGAAGTCTTCATTGTTGGAGGGAAGAGGACCCACACGGGAAGTCTTCATTGTTGGCGGGAAGAGGACCCACACGGGAAGAGGACCCACACGGGAAGAGGACCCACACGGGAAGAGGACCCACATGGGAAGAGGAACCTCACGGGAAGAGGAACCACACGGGAGGTCTTCATTGTTGGCGGGACGAGGAACCACATGGGGAGAAGAACCACACAAAAGGGGGGTCTTCATTGATCCTTCAGTAGCAAGGCGAAGGATAAGAAATGTAAATGAAGTCAATGTAGTATATTTCAAGGTTCTCCTATGGAAGAATTTGATGGAAGGGACGTGAGGAAAAAGGCTGCGGGAGAAGAAGAGAAGGGTGATCATGCTCACAAACAAGAATTGATTCGATGTTCAGGACAGGAGATGGTGTCAGGTCAGGCGATGAACCATCGAGATTCGCTCATGGTGTTTTTGGGCGCAGGCCGCCCCGCGCGGCGGAGCGCGCCCTGAATTCGAAAAGTGATGTGGTGCTGGGTGCAGTGGGGTACGACACGGCAGCTCTTTCTGTGTGAAAGTGCGGGAAGGGCTGGCATTGGTTGGTTTGTTGAAACGATGCGCTGGAGTCCCATAGCCTCCGTCAACGGTGAAAATGATTTCGAGCTGTGGATGGAGCCGCTACTGTACGGTGGAGATTTTCTCGAGGGGTGATCGCTGGACCCGCATGGGTAATGTCAGCGGGAAATGCCGGGAGATTTTGGAGGCGGCTGAAGTGTGTACAGTACACAGCATTCCCAAACTCCATTACAATACGACCCGAACACTTCAATTTTCAGTTTAGAATTCTGTTTGGTTTGCGTTGTGTTGCTGCCAACGAGTTTTCTTGGGGCGCGTATAGTAGGTGGTTGGGTTTGGTGTGGGTGGAACCCAGGTTTGGAGCTGGGGCAGGCACGAACCTTTTAGGAGGAAACTGACGTGGCACGCTCTGCTAGAAAGGGACTGAGAGTTTTATTTTGTGAGGCCCGCGTGAGGCGCGGGATTGTGTGGTGTAGAACGGGGTATAAAAAATGTTTGGCTGAATCCTCGCGAAGCTTTACTGCTCTCGGAACTCCCTTGGCTGGCTGTGAACCAGGTTCGGGCAGCTGAAATAGCTTCGAGTGGCAACAGTCACGCGAACCAATAGGAGTCGAGGGTGTTTCAGTCACCCATCGTACAAACCACCTTGGCCTTACAACCACCACCTCACATCTTCCTTCATTCGTTCCTTCTACACCTGGGCTCCAATAATTTCATTCCCCCTAATTGCAAGGCCCCTGTCGTCATCTGTGGCTCCTGGTTGAGAGCGGTTCGGTCCTCCCAACAACCCTCCGATACCTTTAACCGAATAAAACCGCTTTCGCTCCGTTCAGAAGAGTCCGAAACCCCGAAATCTTTCGTGAGAGTGTTGAAATTAGAGGGAACTTTTTTGTTCCCCCCAATTTCAACCCCAGGGCAAAACGACAAGGACGCGGCTCGGTGCCCACATTCTGAAATTACCGGAGCCCAGGTGTACTACTTCAGCAATGCACTTGCGCCCGTTGCTTGTATTCGTTCCTTCATTCGTTGCTTAGTAGATCTAAGCGCACCACCGTCGCTTCAGCCTTGGTGTCATTTCGTCAGATCTAAGCGCGACCCAAGGCGTAGCACCGTAGATAGTGTCAGTCGCTGAAATCATGCGTAGTCCTACAGTAGTCGCTTCACGTAATGATGTAAGTACCGCTAGTAACTCTTACCATTGTCAGATCTTAGTGAATATGTACCGACAGTTGCGCGCTTCAGATTGCGTAAGGTATCCAGTAGTCGCACAATTTTTTCGAAGTTACTCAGTAGTAACTTTTGAAGTTCCGGACGGATTAGTAACATCGATTTGCGGACACATTAGCCGTGTCGATTTGTGGACACATTTCGGACGGATTAGTTAACATCACTCTTGCGGCAAACGTCGATTTACGGTCAATTTCGATACGGGCGCATTAGCAGCTTCGGTTCGCACGCTGCCGACATGGCGTCACACAGGTGATTAAGCGGATGCAGGTCCGCACCCACGCAAGACGGTAGAAAAATAAGAAGGGAAGATGCAAGGGGGGTGCGAGCGGGGAAAGGGGGGGAGGGGAGTGGAGGAGGAAGGGGGTTGGGGTGGTGGGGGGTTGAGGGGAGGAAGAGGTGGGTAGGGATGGGGAGTGGGGATGGGGTGCGGGGTGCGGGGTGCGGTTGGGTGGGGGGGACATTCCTCATCTCCTCCCGCTCTCCCCACATGTTCCCCCGCTCTCCTCTCTCCTCCCCCTCTTTCCCCTCATCTCTCCCCGCTCCTTCCGCGCTCCTTCCTCATCTTCTTACTCCTCACCCCTCATCTTCCCTCCGCATTCCCCTCAAATTCCCGCACTATCCTCTCATCTCCACTTTTCAGTTCTCCCATCCCATCATCTCCCCCACTCTCCCCTCTTCTCGTCTCCCCCCACCTCTCGTTCCCCCCTCACTGGCGCGTCATCCCCCTCCAACTTACTCTCATTTCTCTTCCGATCTCATGTCATTCCCCCCCATTCCCTGCTCCGCGCTCCCCCCATTCCCTGCTCCGCGCTCCCCCCATTCCCTGCTCCGCGCTCCCCCCATTCCCTGCTCCGCGCTCCCCTCATTCCCTGCTCCGCGCTCCCCCCATTCCCTGCTCCGCTCTCCCCCCATTCCCTGCTCCGCGCTCCCCCCATTCCCTGCTCCGCTCTCCCCCCATTCCCTGCTCCGCTCTCCCCCCATTCCCTGCTCCGCTCTCCCCCCATTCCCTGCTCCGCCCTCCCCCCATTCCCTGCTCCGCCCTCCCCTCACATCCCCACCGCACCTCTGATCGTCCCCCTCCTCCATTCACCCCTCGTCTGCTCCCTCCCCCCCTCCTCCTCTCTCCCTTCCTCAGCCCACCTGTCCATTCCCACTCACCCCCTACTTCCCCTAACCCACCTCCATCCCCCATCATCTCCGCCCTTGCTCCCCCATCATATTTCCCCCCACGCTCATCCTCATCCTCACCCTCATCCTTCTCCCCCTCTCCCCCCTTCCACCAACTTACCTCATCATCTTCCTCACACTTCCTGTTTCTGTTTCCCTTCCTCACGCCTCTCTCACGTTTGACATGCTCCCTTATGCATTGCCTCCCATCTTCCCTTAATCAACCTCCCTCCTCCGTTATACATTACCCAGGCTCCTCCTGGCCTTACCTAGCTGACTCTGTGTCTTGCCCTTGTGTCTTTGTGTCGCTTGCCTTTGCAGGCAAGGAGGCATGGCGACTCTTTGATTAACATTGCCCCCAATTTCCCTCAACCTCCCTCCCTCCTCTACCGTTATTACCACTCACACCCCTGCTATTCTACAAAACTGACTCTTGTGTCTCAGCCTTGTGACTTTGTGTGGCCTGACTCTGTAAATCGTCTTTTTGGCTTGGCTTGTCTTTGCAGGCCAGGAGGCAATGTGATGCGACTCCTTTTTTTTTGCATTTCAGTTTATGGTACCGTAATCACCCGGACATACCACCCTAGGGTGCTATGATAACTACATCAAAAAAAGGGGGGGGTCTTGTCATGGGAAAAAGCTACATAACACCCGGGTCTTTTTATAATGTACATTTTTTTAAAAGCAGAAACGGTTGGGAACAAAATGTACATGCTTGCTGCGGTGGTAGATTGTTGGTTGGGTGCGCAAAACCGAGGATGAGGCGATAACGTTAGGGCGTGTGCACTTTGGGCGAAATTTGTCAAAGTTCGAACATTCACCGCTTTGCACCGAGTAGAACCTCGCTAAAAGTTCGAACTTAAACAGAAGTTCAAACTCCTAGTGCAAAAGCCCTTAGCCTCGAGTGGAAGCTGCCACATTGCAAGCTCCAACAGGCCCTCTGTCATGCCCTGATTGGTCGAAAACACACCCCCCGTCGCTCGACGAGGATTCATGCAGTCACAGAGGCGGGAGTCCCGCAACAGGCTTAGCAGCCTCGCTGGTGCGGTCACGTCCCCGTGCAAAATTTAGGCGAAAACAGCAAATTTTTCCGTACATAACACCCCCCCCCGGGTCTTATACCGGATCGGCCCAAAAGGGGGGTATAGTAGAAACGAGGTCCGCTATAGCACCCACCCCGCACAAGCCACCCGGGGGGTGTTCTATTTCGGCGGGTGGTATGTCCGGGTGATTACGGTATTACCGTAGTTTGTCAAGACAATAGTAGAACCCTGCATGTCTTGTATGACTGCCAGCCACCCCATAATGGATGAGTTGCTTAGTTCTGCTCAGGAAAGGCAGCATGTCATGTCATGTGCACGTACGGTACCGGTACTTTTAGTCAAAGTAAGAGAATTCTCAAAAGAGATTTCAACCTGCATCTGCAATCATTTCATTTCATACCATTTAAAGTTGAAAGCACTGCGATGCAAATGCAAGCAGTGACTTGTGCTCGTGGTATACTATTCAGGGCCTGATTACCGTATCGGAGATTCCTACCATAGACATTGTGTCATGGCTTTCAGCAGCTCTTATTTACCGTATCTAGTTTGCTTTCAATGTATGGTAGTGTTTTATTGTCGCATAGCATACCCTAATGAGCAGCAGCCACAGTCAGCAGTGTGATGGCTGCACGCGCACTGAGATCCCCATGGCCCTCAGCTCATCAAACAGCACTTTGAGGTGCCTCAAGAGACTGCTTTCGAGGCGCCTCAAAAACTGATTCAAGGACGGAATTTGAGCAGCCGTCAGCAGTGGGATGGCTGTACGCGCACGGAAATCCCCATGGCCCTCATCTCTTCAAACAGCAGCTTCAAGGCGTACGGCATGCACACCTGAGGGAGGGATGGCCGGGGACAGGAGGTGAAGGGTAGAAGGAAAACACGCATAAGAAACATCGGCACTACATAAGAAACGGTATGCACAAGAACCCCACTTCATGCTTTATCCAGCTCTTCAACAGAAGCTTCACGACACCGTCATCCCCACTTCTTGAGAATTCTCAGCTCTGTGTGTGGCTTATATCAGCTCACAGATGGTTTGAAAAGCATTTTCATGATATCGGCCATGAACACATGCCACACGATGCCCTGTCACATGGCATACCTCTGTGGTGTTTGTGCTGCTTCCACATGACTGGCACAGAGGACCATGGCGATCACTCCCCGCTCCACCATAACCACCGAAACCACCAGGATCAGCAGTAGCACCACCAGCAGCGCAACCATCAAAACCGCTACCACCACCACCACCCGCCCCGAGTCCACCTCCCCCAGATCCACCCACCCCAGGTACACCTCCCCCAGTTCCACCGGCCGCAGTGGCAATGAGGCCGCAGGCAGAGCAGACGGCAACAGCGGTGGCGTCTGAGAGGAGGGAGAGGCGCTCAGAGAGGGAGTGCGCTGCCCCGTGCGCCACCAGGCAGTCCCTCTCCATCTCCCCCACCCGCATGCCCCCCTGCTGCGCCCTGCCCTTAGGCGGCTGTCTGGTGTTCATCTGGTGGGTGTTGGAAGGGGTAGTGAGGGATGGGGTAGTGAGGGATGGGGTAGTGAGGGATGGGATGCGGTGAGAGGAAAGGGAGGGTGGGTAGATGCATGCTGCCTGCCCCGTGCGCCACCAGGCAGTCTCTCTCCATCTCCCCCACCCGCATGCCCCCCTGCTGCGCCCTGCCCTTGGTTGGCTGGCGAGTGGTTGGCTGGTTGGGTGCTGGAAGGGGTAGTGATGGAAGGGGTAGTGAGGGATGGGATGCGGTGAAAGGGAAGGGAGGTTGGTAGATGCATGCATGCTCCCTGCCCCGTGCGCCACCAGGCAGTCCCTCTCCATCTCCCCCACCCGCATGCCCCCCTGCTGCGCCCTGCCCTTAGGCGGCTGTCTGGTGTTCATCTGGTGGGTGTTGGAAGGGGTAGTGAGGGATGGGGTAGTGAGGGATGGGGTAGTGAGGGATGGGATGCGGTGAGAGGAAAGGGAGGGTGGGAAGATGCATGCTGCCTGCCCCGTGCGCCACCAGGCAGTCTCTCTCCATCTCCCCCACCCGCATGCCCCCCTGCTGCGCCCTGCCCTTGGTTGGCTGGCGAGTGGTTGGCTGGTTGGGTGTTGGAAGGGGTAGTGATGGAAGGGGTAGTGAGGGATGGGATGCGGTGAAAGGGAAGGGAGGTTGGTAGATGCATAATGCATGCTATGCTCCCTGCCCCGTGTGCCACCAGGCAGTCTCTTTCCATCTCCCCCACCCGCATGCCCCCCTGCTGCGCCCTGCCCTTGGTTGGCTGTCGTGTGGTCGTCTGTAGGCTGGGAAGGTGCATAGTGTAAGTGATGGGATAGTGAGGGATGGGATGCGGTGAGAGTGGGTAGACGCATGCTCCCTGCCCCGTGCGCCACCAGGCAGTCCCTCTCCATCTCCCCCACCTGCATGCCCCCCTGCTGCGCTCTGCCTTTAGGCGGCTGGCAGGTTGTGATCTGATGAGTGTTGGGAGGGATGGGATGCGGTGAAATGGAAGGGGAATGGGGAGTGGAAGAGGATAGAAACAGCAGAGAGGAGGGGAGAGCAGAGCAGACAGCAACGGCGGTGGTGTCTGAGAGCAGGGAGAGGCGCCCAGAGAGGGAGTGGGTTGCCCTGCACCGTACACCACCGCACATCACCTCGCATTAACACACTTCACCGCAGCTCACCTGCTTGATCCCGCTAGCCCGTGTGGCTCTTTTGTCAGCTGCTAGATGCTTGAGGCGCAGGTAGTGCGTGGGTCCCACAAACACCACACATACCACTCCACCGCATGGAACCGCATGGAACCGCATGGCACCGCACATCACTGCACATCACCGCAGCTCACCTGCTTGGTACCAATAGCCCGTGTGGCTCTCTTGTCGGCTGCCAGGTGCTTCAGACGCAGGTAGTGAGTGGGTCCCACAAACACCCTCCCTTCCATCTCCCGTCCTGTCAACCCACAGTATGCAACGTCCTTGCCTAAATCGAGAGGGGAGTAGCCACAACTGATAAGGGGGGGTTGGGGGTGAGGAGAGGAGGGAGAATGGCGGGGTAAGGTAGGGGAGGGAAGGTTGTGACTGGGCCGACAAACACCCTCCCCTCCATCTCCCGTCCCGTCATCCCACAGTATGCAATGTCCTTGGCTAAATCGAAAGGGGAGTAGGGGAGTAGCCGCAACTGATAGGAGGGGATGGGTGAAAGAGAGGAGGGGGGGGGGGGAGGATAAAGCAGGTATCAAGATCTCTCGCCCCGTCTACCCGTCAACCTGCACAGTATGCGACATCTTTGCCCATGTCGAGAGGGGAGTAGCCACAACTGATAGGAGGGGATGGGTAAAAAGGCGGGGGGGGGGGGGATAAAGCAGGTATCAAGATCTCTCACCCCGTCAACCTGCCCGGTCTACCCGTCAACCTGCACAGTATGCGACGTCTCTGCCCAAGTCAAGAGGGGAGTAGCCGCAACTGGTGATCTAGAATGGGACGGGAAAGTTGAGAGGGCAGGTTAGGCCTTTAGGGTAAGGGAGGGAAGGCAGTGAGTGGTGGAATCCACTAACACCCTCCCCTCCATCTCCCGTCCTTTCACCCCGCACAGTATGCAACGTCTTTGCCTGCCCAAGTCAAGTGGTGAATACCCTGCAGCAGACAGTACCAGTGCGGTCTTGAGTAGACCAGTTGTGTGAACCAGTTGTGGTTACCCTATTCAAAGGCAAAGTTGTGTACCTGCGCAATCGATGCTGTGCTTCAGAGAGAAGGTCCGAGCCCCAGAGGTCAGAGGAGCAGGCGGAGAAGGATGAGAGGCCTTTATTGCTACTTGTCTCTTGCACGGGTGAGCATGCCACCTGTGCAGGATGGAGGGGGAAGGAGGGGAGGAGGGTGGAGGGGGGAGGAGGGGAGGAGGATGGAGGGGAAAGGAGGGGAGGAGGGTGGAGGGGCATGAGGAGCAGGTGGAATAACGAGGAGCAGGACAGGATCTGGTACCACCCCTAGCGGCGCTCCCACTGCTGTAGGCTTGGTGCAGTGCGGTGTAACGCAGTGCACTGTGGTACACTGCGGTGCCATGCAGTGCAAGACGGTGCGGACCGAACCTTCGCGAAGAGTGCTTCCATGACTTGCCCCAGGGTCATGCCTGAGGGCAGAGCGTGTGGGTTGATCACCAGATCTGGTACCACCCCTAGCGGTGCCTGTCCCACTACGTAGGTGCAATGCAGTGCAATGCAGTGCAAGGCAGTGAATTGTGGTGGAGCATGGTGCAGTGTGGTGGTGTGCGGTGGAGTGCGGTGCAAGATGGTGCTGACTGTACCTTGGCGAAGAGTGCTTCCATGCCCAAGTGTCATGCGGGAGGGCAGCCTATGTGGGTTGATCATTAGATCTGGTACCACCCCTCGCAGTGCCTGTCCCATTGGTGTAGGTGCGGTGCAGTCCGATGCAGTGCGGTACAATGCAGTGCAAGGTGGTGTATTGTGGTCGAAGGGTGTAAATACAAATACGAATACAAATACGAGTTATGTATTCGAATATTGGTCGAATATCTCGTGTGATTTGTATTTGATCGAGTAGTGGCTGAAAATCAAATACAAATTCGAGTCGAATGCGCTCGATTACGAGTCGAATACAAATCAACTCGCGTATGCATGTTACCACCCTGGATTGTGTATTCTAGGAAACAACCCTGTGCTTTAGTTCGTGCAACCCCACCAAGGTTCAAGCTTTCCTTTACAAGATGCTAGGTACGAGATTTGTATGATTTTATTGAATAGTTGTTTAACTATGGGCCTCACAGTGACTGCCGTCTATCTGCTCAAACACCCTCAAAAGGCGAGATAGGAGAGGTATGTTACACACCCGGTTGAAATACGAATACTCGTTCGAATATTCGAGTTAAGGAAAACGAGTATTTGTATTTGCGAGTTTGGAAAACCGAATAATGTCGAATAGGGAAAGGAAACTTGATTTGATTTGTATTTGACATTTGGTCGAATATCGAATACAAATTCGAATACCGTGCTATTTGTTTTCAGGTTTATCGAGAGTGGTGAAGTGCGGTGCGAGACAGTGCTGACCGTACCTTGGCGAAGAGTGCTTCCATGACTTGCCCCAGCGTCATGCGGGAGGGCAGCGCGTGTGGGTTGATCACCAGGTCTGGTACCACCCCTAGCGGCGCTCCCACTGCTGCAAAACCAGCAGCAGTTGGATTTCTGAATTCACCAACTCCAGCAGCAGCAGCACCGGCAGCAGCAGCACCGGCAGCAGCAGCAGCGGCAGGGCATTTAACAGAGGCAACGCCGTCAAACCAGGGCAGGTCGTGGGAGGGCATCACGCGGCCGATGACCCCCTTCTGCCCGTGCCGGCTCGTGAGCTTGTCCCCCACCTCTGGGCGGAGTGTGGCACGCAGGCGTACCTGGGGAGGGAAGGGAGAGGAAAGCAGCAAGCTTGGCAACGCCATCGAACCAGGGAAGATCGTGGCAGGCAGGGCAGCACGCGGCCAATAACCCCCTCTGCCCGTGCCGGCTCGTGAGCTTGTCCCCTGCCTCTGGGCGCAGGGTGGCACGCAGGCGCACCTGGGGAGGGGAGAGAAAAAGGAGGAATCCCGCAACCAGCTGAAGGAACAGAGCATGAAACGATGGCGAAAACAAGAGCTCACTCACCCTCTCCAGCAGCACACCATGACTGCCCAAGTCCATGCAAACAGCAACGGACACTATCCCAAAGGAAGGGAAGGAGACAGCACTGACGGAGGTGTGGTGTAGAGAGGCAAACAGGCCCACATGGGATGGGACCCAGTCAAACACCACACCCACAGACCCACACGGGGCCCTGTCACCCTGCCAGCCACAGACTCACCCTCCCCAGCCGCACGCCGTGACTGTCCACGTCCATGCCAGCGGCGTCCACTATCCCGCCTCCCCCTTCCACCTGCGACACCATGAGACTATGAATTTTCTCCTCCTCCCCTGTGGCCGTGAGGCGGGGCAGCTGGAGGGAAGGGGAAGGGAGAGAAGGGGGGATGTGGGGTGAGGAAGTGACATACGAGCAGCGTCCACTATGTTTCTTCGTGTCTCATGAGATGTTAATCGGGAGATGTATATGCAAAGGAGCAGCCTCCTCACTCGTTCCTCCCTGAGACGCAACCAGAAACTAAGTTTCTTCTGGCACTTGGCCGATGCGAAAGGCGCTCTCCTTCCCCCCAAACACACCTCGATACTTGAGACGACTTAAATACGCCTAGACTCTAGTCTATGAATATTCACTCACGCTCACCCAAGCACAAAAGTTCGACTTACCCCAGTCGCCACGTGGCCAATCAGAATGGCCCTCTCCCTCCCCGAAAACACTGCTCGATCCGTCACACTCCTCCCCCACACCCCCCGCACTGCCTCCCCCCCACGCCCGAGCTACAGTAAACCCTAATCCCTGCCACCTTCTCTCCTGCTGCCCCCTCCACTGCGGCTGTCACCCCTGCCCCTGCTCCCCCAACCTCCTCTCCTGTTCCCCCTCCTGCGTTGCCTGAACCCCCAACCACTTCTCCCGGCCACAGCAACGGATGGCCCACTTTAGAAAGCCCATTCTCCCCCAGATGGTCATTTTGAGACCATCTCTTAGGCCTCTCCTGCCGCTCCCTCCGCTCCCTCCGCTCCCTCCGCTCCCCGTGATAGTCTCGCCCCCTCTCCCTCCTCCTCCTCCCTCCCCCTCCCCCTCCCCCTCCCCCTCCCCCTCCCCCTCCCCCTGCCCCTGCCCCTGCCTCTTTCGCCTCCCCCAAAGCTTCTCCCCTCCCCTTCTCCCCCATCTCCTCCCCCACCCTCCCCCCATCCGCCTCCCCCTCTTCCCCCCCATCGGTCCCCCCCGTCTCGATCTCCAATGAAACCACGCTCTCCTCCCCCACCACTTTCCCCTTCTCCACCTCCCCCCCCATCCGCCTCCCCCTCCTCCCCCCCCTCCTCCCCCCGATCCGCCTCCCACCCACCCACTCCCCCCTCCGCCATCTCCCCTCCCCTCCCCTGTCCCCTTGCTCCCTATCTCCCCAAGAATCGTCCCCCCTCCCCCTTCCCCGTCCCCTCCCGCGACCCCTTCCCCTTCCCCCCCTCCCTCCCCACCCCCTTCCCCCCCGTCCGCCCTCGTCTCCCCCGTCCTCTCTGCCTCTCCACCCATCCCCACCTCCTCTTTCCGCCTCCCCACCCATCCCCACCATCCCCTCCTCCTCCCCAACCGTCCTCTCCATCTCTTTTGTTCCCAGCAGCCCCATCACCCTCACTCTGCCCTCTCTCCTTACCCCATCCTCCCCCGCCCCACCCTCCTCCCCCTCCCCCACCTCCTCCCCACCCCCCCTCTCCACCACACTCCTCCCCCCCCCCCCTCCCGCCCCACTCCCACCAGCGGCAGCATCACCATCAGCACCATCACCCGTACCACCCCAACCACCCCCACCGTCACCAGCGGCGGCATCACCAGCAGCAGCAGCAGCGTCACCCAACCACCCCCACCGGTATCAGCATTACCGGCAGCAGCAGCAGCACCCCAACCACTACCACCCTCACCATCACCCGTACCACCCCGACCACCCCCACCATTAGCAGCGGCAGCACCACCACCACCAGCACCAGCAGCACCACCACCCCAACCACCCCCACCGTCACCAGCATTACCAGCAGCACCATCACTGCCCCGACCACCCCCACCCTCACCAGCACCATCACCACCAGCGGCATCACCCGTACCACCCCAACCGCCCCCACTAGCAGCAACAACACCAGATCCATCACCAGCACCACCACCCCAACTACCTCCACCCTCACCAGCACCAGCAGCAGCAGCGGCAGCACCTGTACCACCCCAACCGCCCCCACTAGCAGCAGCATTACCGGCAGCAGCAGCACCACCCCAACCACCACCACCACCAACGGCATCACCTGTGCCACCCCAACCATCCCCACCACCACCACCACCACCACCAGCATCAACATGAGCATGAGTATCAGTATCCGCATCAACATGAGCATGAGTATCAGTATCCGCATCAACATCAGCAGTCCCCCACCCGCCACGACTAGTACCACCACCACTACCAGCACCCCACCCTCCTCCTCCCCTTCCTTCCCTTCCTCCCCCTCCTTCCTCTCCTCCCCCTCCCCTCCATCCTCCCTCTCCTTCCCCTCGCCCCCTTCCCCCACTGCCATTCAGCTCACCACCCTCGTCCCTTTCCTTGTCACTTGCACCCCATCCCCCTGCTTGTGTTGCTGCTGCTGCTGCTCCTCCCTCTCTTCCTCTATCCTCCTCACCACCAGCCCAACCTCCCCCTCGTCCGCCCCCGCTGCCATTCAACCCACCACCCTCGTCCCCCTCCTTGTCACTTGCACCCCATCCCCCTGCTGGTGTTCCTCCTCCCTCTCTTCCTCTATCCTCCTCATCACCCCCACCCCCACCCCAACTACCCCCACCACCAGCATCAGCAGCACCACCAGTATCAGCGCCACTGGCGCCAGCAGCAGCACCCCACCCTGCTCCTCCCCCATCACATTCGTCCCTCTCCTTGTCACTTGCACCCGAACCCCCTGCTTCTTCTGTTGCTCCCTCTCTTCCTCTATCCATCCCTTCACCACCACCCCCATCACCCCAACCACCCCCATCAGCAGGACCACCTTTATCAGCAGCAGCATCAGCAGCAGCATCAGCAGCAGCATCAGCATCAGCATCAGCATCACCACCACCCCACCCGGCATCCCTACCTGCCCCGCGTGCTTCTTCACTCCTACCCCACCCACCCCACCCACCACCCTCACCCTCCTCCCTCTCAATCCTCTCACCCCATCCTGTTGCTGCTCCTTCTGCTCCTCCTCCTCCTCCTCCTCCTCTGTCTGCTGGTGCTCCTGCCCCCACTCCTACTTCTGCTCCTTCTTCATTCTGAGACATATCATCACCTGCTGTCCTTGACCCTCCTGCTTGCACCTCTGCTTGTGCCTCTGCACCCCATGCACCTGTTTCACCAGCAACTGCTGTATCTTCATTTCGAGGCATCTCAGCATCAATTGCTGCTGCCTCTGACCTTCCTGCTTCCTCCCCCCGTGCACCCATAGCTTGATTCATTGCCACGTCATCATCTTGCTCGACCCCCACGTCATCACCACCTTGCCACGTGGCCTCCTTCTCACCAGCCTGCGCCATTGCCACGTCAGCAGCATCATCATCCTGTGTGAGATCGACTGGCTCCGTCTTGGCTCGAAGAGGCGGTCTCTCCTTTCGTCCCTCTTCTTGTCCACCTCTCCTTCCCCTCCTCTGCTGCCAACCACCATCACCAGCACCAGCAGCAGCAGCAGCAGCAGCAGCAGCAGCAGCAGCAGCAGCAGCAGCAGCAGCAGCAGCAGCAGCAGCAGCAGCAGCAGCAGCAGCAGCAGCAGCAGCAGCAGCAGCAGCAGCAGCAGCAGCAGCAGCAGCAGCAGCAGCAGCAGCAGCAGCAGCAGCAGCAGCAGCAGCAGCAGCAGCACCAGCAGCAGCAGCACCACCAGCAGCACCAGCACCAGCACCAGCAGCATCATCATCGCTATCAGTAAGACCATCTGCATCCCACCCTGCACGCCAAGCCTTCCCTGCAGCCGCCTTTTGAGGCGCCTCCGAAGTCGCACCACCATCAACAGCAGCAGCACCGGCCCCAGCAGCAGCACCGGCCCCAGCAGCACCAGCAGCAGTGCCACCAGCAGCAGCAGCGGCAACAACCGCCAACAGCAGCATCAGCATCATTATCGCTATCAGTAAGACCATCCGCATCCCATGCTGACCGCCCAGCCTTCCCTGCAGCCGCAGCCAGTCCCGCTCCTCCCCCTCCTCTCTCTCCTCCCCATCCTCCCCCACCTCCCCCTCCCCCCCTCCTGCCTCCTCCGCCCCATCCTCCCTCCTCCCTCCCCCTGCCCGCCTCAGCTGTCCCCCCATCCCCTCCCCATCCCCCTCCCCTCCCCCCATCCCCCCCCCTCCCCCTCCCCCCCCCTCCCCCCCCCCCCCCTCCCCAACCTCCCCCCGCCTCTCCCCCTCCCCCCAACCTCCCCCCGCCTCCCCCCCCTCCCTCTCCCCCTCCCCTCCCCCCTCCCCCCTCTCTCCCCTCCCCCCCTCCCCCCTCCCCCCCCCCGCCCCCTCCTTCCCCACTCCCTCTCCCCCATCCCCCACCTCCCCCTTCCACTCCCTTTCCTCCCCACCCATCTGCACTCCCCTCTTCCACCTCCATCTCCCCCACACCAACTCCCAAACCAGCAGGCTCGGCAGCCCCAGGCCAAGCTGCTCCCGGCCCCCCGTCCTGGCTCGGTTTGCCGAATCTCCAGGTCACTTCCGTCTTGCCTCGTGCAGCCTTGCCCTGCCAACAGGCAAACGAGAGAGAAACGGAGGACTTAACCAGTTTTTAAATTCATGCCAGAGCATTACTGGCATGGGATGGGAATGCTTTTGAGTTGGCAAAAGTCACCTCCAGGTCACTTCCGTCTTGCCTCGCGCAGCCTTGCCCTGCCAACAGGCAAACGAGAGAGAAAAAAAGGAGTTGTTCGATTCTAGCCATTGAAACTGGCATGCAAATGCCTTTTGAGCCAGATAAACCGAAAAAAGATGAAGGCAAGGATTGGGAACGGTGGCTGATTTTGATTCTGCTCTTCCACGAAGCTTTTCGAGACGTCCCAAAACTCGTCGTTTTGAGAAATTTCAAAAGCGTCCCATCCCTTTACCCCAGAGCCCCATCTATCTATACAGCTGAGCCCACCTCCTTTCCCACGAAGCTTTTTGGGAGTTTTGAGAAATTTCAAAAGTGTCCCATCCCTTTACCCCAGAGCCACATCTATCTATACAGCTGAGCCCACCTCCTCTTGCACGAAGCTTTTTGGGAGTTCTGAGAAATTTCAAAAGTGTCCCACCCCTTTACCGCAGAGCCACATCTATCTATACAGCTGAGCCCACCTCCTCTTCCACGAAGCTTCTAAATGTGGTGCTGCCGAACAGGCCCCTGTCGACTGACGCCTGGTTGATTATCAGCGCGTCCTCCTGATGGGGGGTTGTGGGAGGGAGAAGGAGAGAGGGACGATAGGAACAATGACATTTGAGGCGCCTCAAAAGTCGCTGCTACACAGCCCACCTCTGTCAGCCGACGCCTGGTTGATGATCAACGCGTCCTCCTGATGGGTGAGTGGTGGGATGGGGGCAGGGGGAAGTGGGGGGTAGCGGAGGAGAGGAGAGGAAGAAAGTAGGAAACTGAAACGAGGGTCACACCATAAAGTGCTAAACAGCCATCTGAAACCGATGCCGGGTTGATGATTAAAGCATCCTCCTGATGGGTGTGGGAGAGGGGATGGCAGATAGGACAGGGGGATTGCACCCATGCACACCTACCATCACCGCATCCCACCTGGTTGCATCCGATGTGTATGAAAGAAACGATGGCGCTCGCTGGGGATATGGCCCATGGCTGCACTTATTGCAGCCACAACAAACATGACTGCACTTATTGCAGCCACAACAAACATGACTGCACTTATTGCAGCCACAACAAACATGGCTGCACTTATTGCAGCCACAACAAACATGGCTGCACATATTGCAGCCACAACAAACATGGCTGCACATATTGCAGCCACAACAAACATGGCTGCACATATTGCAGCCACAACAAACATGGCTGCACATATTGCAGCCACAACAAACATGGCTGCACATATTGCAGCCACAACAAACATGGCTGCACATATTGCAGCCACAACAAACATGGCTGCACATATTGCAGCCACAACAAACATGGCTGCACATATTGCAGCCACAACAAACATGGCTGCACTTATTGCAGCCACAACAAACATGGCTGCACTTATTGCAGCCACAACAAACATTGCTGCACTTATTGCAGCCACAACAAACATGGCTGCACTTATTGCAGCCACAACAAACATTGCTGCACTTATTGCAGCCACAACAAACATGGCTGCACTTATTGCAGCCACAACAAACATGGCTGCACTTATTGCACAGGGAGGAGAGAAACATAGTACGTACACATTGCACCCACCCAAACCAACCAGCACAGCATGAAACCGAGTTGAATCCCACAGCACCGCATCATACCTGGTTGTAACCAGCACTCATGATGGCGACCATAGCATTCTGGCCATTAGGAAAGTCTGAAAGGCCACTGGCTAGTTAAGCAATTTTGGACGCCACGAGGGGGCGTTGTGGTAGTGCATGGCAGAAAGAACAGCAGAACGTGCACAGTGCACCCATCCTACTAGTACAGCTACTTACCAGCACCGCACTGTACCTGGTTGTATCCAGCGCTCATCACGGCGACGATGGCGTTCTGGCCATTGGGGAAGTCTGAAAGGCCACTGGCGAGTTCAGCAATTCTGGAGGCCACGAGGGGCCGTTGAGGGTAGTGCAGAGCAAAAAGGGTGCGGTCGGAACGATGGCAGAGGTTGTAGGGTGGCACACCCATGGCCTGTGGGAGAGGTGGGTAGAGGAGAAGGGGGGAAGAGGAAATAGGGAACGAACGAGGAATCAGGAGGGGTCGCTGGGGGTAGTGCAGAGCAAAATGGGTGCGGTCGGAGCGAGGGGGAGGTTGTAGGGTGGCACGCCCATGGCCTGTAGGGGAGGTGGGGGGAAGGAGGAGGGCAGGGAAGCTGGACTGGAGAAAAAAGAGGGGAAGAGGACTGGAGAAAAAAGAGGGGAAGAGGACTGGAGAAAAAAGAGGGGAAGAGGACTGGAGAAAAAAGAGGGGAAGAGGACTGGAGAAAAAAGAGGGGAAGAGGACTGGAGAAAAAAGAGGGGAAGAGGACTGGAGAAAAAAGAGGGGAAGAGGACTGGAGAAAAAAGAGGGGAAGAGGACTGGAGAAAAAAGAGGGAAAGAGGACTGGAGAAAAAAGAGGGGAAGAGGACTGGAGAAAAAAGAGGGGAAGAGGACTGGAGAAAAAAGAGGGGAAGAGGACTGGAGAAAAAAGAGGGGAAGAGGACTGGAGAAAAAAGAGGGGAAGAGGACTGGAGAAAAAAGAGGGGAAGAGGACTGGAGAAAAAAGAGGGGAAGAGGACTGGAGAAAAAAGAGGGGAAGAGGACTGGAGAAAAAAGAGGGGAAGAGGACTGGAGAAAAAAGAGGGGAAGAGGACTGGAGAAAAAAGAGGGGAAGAGGACTGGAGAAAAAAGAGGGGAAGAGGACTGGAGAAAGCTGAAAGGCCACTGGAAAGTGGGAAGAGGAGAGAGGGGAAGAGGAATAGGGAGAAGCTGTTCTACAAAGTGTAGAGAAAAAGCGTGTCTTTTGAGTCGACTCAAAAGTCACCTCAAGAGGAGAGAGGGGAACAGGAACAGGGAGAAGCTGTTTTACAAAGCGTGTGGCTGTTGTTTTCCCTATTCCTCTTTCCAGTGGCCTTTCAGCTTTGTCCAGTCCTCTGAATAGGGAGAAGCTGTTCTACAAAGTGCAGAGAAAAAGCGTGTGGCTGTTGTTTTTCCTTCCTCCCCCTCCCTCCACCCTCTCCCCTTGACTCTTTCTTTCCATACCACACCTGCTTGAACATGTGGGCTGCTCCAGTGCTGCGAGAAACGCCATTGTGATTCACAAACGGCAGAGCCGACGCAATGGCGCCAAACATGAGATCGGGATGAATCTCCACATGGGAGTGACGCGCAGATGAGAGAAGGTGAGCAGATGGGTGACAGTCTCAGACATACCTGCTTGAACATGTGAGCTGCCCCAGTGCTGCGAGAAACGCCATTGTGATTCACAAACGGCAGAGCCGACGCAATCGCACCAAACATGAGCTCCGGATGAATCTCCATGTGGGAGTGACGCGCAGACGCTTCTAAACCACATGAGTCTCGAAGAAAGGACGACAGAGACAGGGTAGAGTCCGGAGATTGCTGCCGAGCATCCCGTGCTGCACCGCCGCAGATATCCTCCAGGCTTGTTTCGGAGAGTTCCTTGCGCTGCTCTGCAGCCATGTAGGGTTCTGCTGGGGCAGGCTTGCAGTTGGTTGCTTCCTCTGCTGCGTCTACATACTCCACTGCCCCTGATGCGAGCATTGTCTCCCATGCCTGCTCCCAGCTGTTGCTCTTGCTGCTGCTGCTGGTGGTGCTGGGTGGAAGGTCAATGGGTGGCTGCTGCAGCAGCAAGGGGCGGAGGATGCGACCCGGGGAGGAGGCGAGGTGGAGGGCGTGCAGGGCGGGGTGATAGGCCATGCCGAGCTGACAGGGAAATGGGGGGAGGAGAGGCAGGAGAGAAGGGAAGTGAGAATATAAGAGTCGACTTCCTAGGCACTGCACCACACTGCAGGGAGGATGCGACCCGGGGACGAGGCGAGGTGCAGGGAGTGCAGGGCGGGGTGATAGGCCATGCCGAGCTGACAGGGAAAAAAGGTGGAGCGGATCGGTGAGGGGTCAGGGCGCAGGGGGGGAAGACGAAGAGGGGGAGGACGGGGGAAAAGGAAGTGAAAAGACATCAGTGAAACGCGAAAAAAAAGCCATCGCTGGAACCAGCAACTCCTAAAAAAAGTGCGCAAACAGAAAGTTATGTATACAGGAACCATGCTGTATTATGGCATACCTCTCTGTATCTCTTGGCGCCCTTTTGTCTTTTCCTCCTCATCTGCCTAGTCAGCTCTGCCAGGTCAGCATGCCACCCCACTGGCCGCCCATTCACCCAAACTTCTCCTCCTCCTCCTCCTCCTCCTCCTCCTCCTCCTCCTCCTCCTCCTCCTCCTCCTCCTCTCCTCCTCCTCTTCTCACCCCCTCGCTCTCCAGGAGGACCATCCCACGTGTCTGCAGCTCCTTCACCAGCCACCAGTCACCAAACGCCACGTCACCACCCCTCGCTGCACTGCGTCCCTCTCCCTTAGCATCCCTCGCACCATCACTACGACCATCCTTGTCCAAAGCCCAAGGGTTATCAGCACCATCACCAATATCCTCCAAACCCCAGATGTCATCATCATCACCACTCTCAACCGCTTTCGCACCATCTCCTTCCTTCTCTTTCCCGTCTTCCTCCTGATCCTCGTCCTCCTCCTCCTCTCCCCACTCCCCAGAGACACAGGTAGCAAGCGAAAGGTTGAGGGATAACCCTATCGCCTCGGACTTGGGGGTTTCCAGTGGGCAGATGCGGCCGAAGAACGTGGCATGACTGGGATAAAGGGGGGAGAGCAAGCGTGGGTGGGTAGGCACAGGGAGGGAGGAAGCAGGTAGCAAGGGCGAGGTTAAGGGATAACCCTATTCCTTCGGACTTGGGGGTTTCCAGTGGGCAGATGCGGCCGAAGAAGGTTGCATGGCTGGGATGGGGTGGGGGAGAGCAAGTGGAGGCACAGGGAGGAAGCAGGTAGCAAGGGCGAGGTTGACAGAAAACCCTATCGCCTCGAACTTGGGGGTTTCTAGCGGGCAGAAAACTTTTGAGACGTCTCAAAAGTCGTTTTGAGAAGTCTCAACAGCCGGTTGAGTGGCTCACTCGCATGCAGAGTCCAGGCGACGGCTGCAATGACTAGAAAGCCTTGGGATTTGCTACACTGTCAAAGCAGCTCACATCTGTCTGGCAGCAGCAGAGGTGTTGGATCGATGGGAAGGCACCTCCATCCTCCTGAGCTGTGACAGTGCCATAGCAGCAGACAGCCGGTTCAGTGGCTCACTCGCATGCAGACTGCTGCTGCTCGTCCCGTACCACCCGGCGCCGAACCTGCCGTGGCTGCCGCCGCCGAACCTGCCGCCTTTGGCTCGGCCGTAGCTCCGGGGCGCGTGCCAGTTACCGGTTGCTAAGGCAGGCTGGAAGCAAGAGAAGGGATAGGGATTACGGCAAGTGCGTGAGTGAGCTAGTGAGCGGGTGAGTGAGTGAGTGAGTAAGTGCATAAGTGAGTGAGTCAGTGAGTGAGTGAGTGAGAGAGTGAGTGAGTGAGAAAGTGTGAACGAGTGAAAGAGTGAACGACCAGACACCCCAGCAGCTCCTCCCTCCTCTCCTTGCATGTACTGTCTCTGATCTGAACTGCACAGTCTACCCCTCTTGTACCCTCTTGCACAAACTGAACCCTCTTGTACCCTCTTGCACAAACTGAACCCTCTTGTACCCTCTTGCACAAACTGAACCCTCTTGTACCCTCTTGCACAAACTGAACCCTCTTGTACCCTCTTGCACAAACTGAACCCTCTTGTACCCTCTTGCACAAACTGAACCCTCTTGTACCCTCTTGCACAAACTGAACCCTCTTGTACCCTCTTGCACGAACTGAACCCTCTTGTACCATCTTGCACGAACTGAACCCTCTTGTACCTCTCTGAGACTCTGAGACCCTCTTTGGCTAATCCCCTCTTTGACTGACCGCTTTCACTCACCTCCAGTCGCAGAGCGATGCAGTCTCTATTCACGAATGCACGGCAATGCAGCCGCCTCATGTACCCCAGCAGCCCCTCCCTCCTCTCCTAACATGAACATGGACTGTTTGAACTGAACAGTGCTGTACCATATGATCTACCCCCTCCTACTCACCTCCAGTCGCAGTGCAATGCAGTCTCTGTGCACAAATGCACGGCAATGCAGCCGCCTCATGTACCCCAGCAGCCCCTCCCTCCTCTCCTAACATGAACATGGACTGTTTGAACTGAACAGTGCTGTACCATATGATCTACCCCCTCCTACTCACCTCCAGTCGCAGTGCAATGCAGTCTCTGTGCACAAATGCACGGCAATGCAGCCTCCTCATATACCCCAGCAGCCCCTCCCTCCTCTCCTAACATAAACATGGACTGTTTGAACTGAACAGTGCTGTACCATATGATCTACCCCCTCCTACTCACCTCCAGTCGCAGTGCGATGCAATCTCTGTGCACAAATGCACGGCAATGCAGCCTCCTCATATACCTCAGCAACCCCTCCCTCCACTCCTCCCCCACTGCCGCTGCCACTACCACCCCCCTCCCCTCCCTCCCCCACCCCATCCTCGTGCTGCTGACTGTACCACTGCTGACGTGGCGCCTGAGATAGGTGCTGACGTGGCGGGTCATTTCACGCTCGATATTCCAGCAGAGGCTGTCCAGCCCTGCAACGACCTGGTCTTCCAGAAGCTTCCCGGAGGTTTCCACTTTGAGGTGCGCCAGGCTGCGAGGGTCATCCTGTGAGATTTAATCAGAAGAAATCAATGCACTTAGCTAAATAAATGGATACAATCAATGCTTAACCATTTCAACGGATACTTGAAGTGATACAATGAATGCTTAACAGAGAGATAGTGGTGCTTAACCTAAACATCACTACTCACCGGAGGGGAATACCCAAGGCAGGTGGAGCAAAGCCGGCGGGCCATGTAAGCAACAAATTGCGCCTTGGCAGGGAGAGAGGCGGGCCCTGAGCCGACATGTGGCAGCATGTCATTGGCCAGAAGCTCCCACGCAGTTTGCCTGTTGTTGTGAGTCAGGGACTCGAGGGCGGCAAGAGCAGCCTGAGAGAGGGAGGGAAAGGGAAGGGTGGGAGGGACCCTTCAGGCGTAGATATCTGGGGCAGGAGCTGGGATGTGGCAGTGGCAGCATGTCACTGGTCCGGAGGTCCCACGCAGAGAGCAGGGGGAACTGTTGTGCGTCAGGGAGTCGGGAGATGCAGGGGGGAGCAGAGTGGAGGAGAAGAGCGGGCAGAGTGGACGAGAAGAGCGGGCAGAGTGGAGGGAAGGGAGGGTTGGACGATAGGGTTGCGGTTGGGGGAGAGGGCAGGACGGAAGGTGAGAAAGTCTCACCTGTTGGTTGCTACTCTGGTTCTCTTCACATGTGTGCTGCAGCAGCTGCAGCATCTCCTGCTGCTGCTTCAACAGTGCATCTGCTTCCTCCCCTCCTTCCATCCCTCCTCCCGCCCCTCCTTCCGTTTCACCTCCTTCTCCTCCCTTTTCCCCATCACCACCATCAGTAGAAACCCCACCATTAGCACCACCACCACCACCAGCTGCAGCACCATCATCATCATCATCATCACTCTCATCTATCACTATAACATTCGCTGCCCTTTTCTGTCTCTTCGCCTTAAACCACGCACCCCCATCCCCTTCCTCCTCTCTCTCCTCCTGTCCCTCCTCCTCTCCCTCCGCTCCATCCTCCTCTTCACCAAATCCCGCTTCTCGCACAATCCCTCTTCTCACACTACCAGACCCGCTCCCTCCCCTTTCTTCCCCTCCCCCCACCATGCCCTCACTTTCTTTCAACGGGCGCCCAAGTATCATTTTAAATATTTCCTTATCTGACCGAACTCCAAGAGCACGGAGGAAGAGGAAGAGGTTGACCGGGCAGCTGAAATACCATGGCAGATGGACTTGAAGAGCACGGGGAGAGCTTGCGCTGGTTGCTGACGTGGCAGCTGCAGCTGACGTGGCAGTTGCAGGTGCTGAGCTGACATGAGGTGGAACAAGAGCTGAACAGGTCATCCTCATCATCCTGCAAGCAAGGCATTCCGAAGAAAGTGGACGATGAGAGGAACGTGCAGTACCGTGCAGTACCGTGCAGTACCGTACCATACATATGGGGTGAGTGTCTACACTCACGTACTGTATGGGGTGAGTGAGATACAAGATAGATAGGCAGAAACACGAAAATGACGATCGACACACACACACACACACAGATAGAGTAGGGAAGGCAGATGGGGAAAGACACACTCACACACAAACACACACTGAGGTCGTTTTTGAGGCGCCTCAAAAACGACCTCAATGAGGCGCCTCAAAAACAGATAGACAAGGGAAGGCAGATGGGGAAAGACACACACACACACTCACACACAAACACACACGTAAACACACCTTGCCATTTTTACATATCAGATAATCAGACACATACCTTGTGTTTGCCCGTGTTCCTGCCTTGAAACCTCCCATATCATCCTCAGTAGAGACAACAGAAGCCACCCACTCGTCCCTCCACACTCCCGTCCCCTCTGCCGCCCCGCCGCCCACCGAAGCAGCTCTGGTAGCAGCAGAGGCGGAAGGCAGTGGTGCAGGCTCGACCAGGATGGTGTTGGGTGCCCTCACCAGCTGGGGAATGACCACCTGCGGGGAATCAAATGGGCAACGGATAGGTGAGACAGTGAGTTGAGGGGGGGTGCAGCAGGCTCGGCCAGGATGGTGTTGGGCACTCTCACGAGCTGGGGAATGACCACCTGTGGGGGCAAACACAGAGAGGGGATGAGATGGTGGGAAACAGGACAAGGCCGGACGGAGTAAGGTGCAGCAGGCTCGACGAGGATGGTGATGGGTGCCCTCACGAGCTGCGGAATGACCACCTGCAGGAAGGCAAATGGGCAGGGGATGGACAGATAGAGCACAGACAGAAAGAGGACAGACTCGAGAGGAGCAGGCTCGACGAGGATGGTGTTGGTGCCCTCACGAGCTGCGGAGTGACCACCTCCGGGGATGCATATGCACAGGGGATAGACAGATAGAGCACAGACAAAAGGAGGGCAGACTTGGGAGGTGTAGGCTCGACCAGGATGGTGTTGGGTTGGGTGCCCTCACAAACTGCGGAATGACCACCTGCGGGTGAATAGGTGGGGGAGAGAGGGGTGAGGTTAGGAACATGAGTTGTATGGGAGATTGAATGAGGGAAAAATGGGAAAGATGCAGGCTCGACCAGGATTGTGTGTTGGGTGCTCCTTACCTTCTCCATCCCCTTCACAATGAAGTATCCTCCGCGGTCCTTGGGACACTCCTCCCTAATATTGAGTTGAATAAGAAATCTCCCCCTCACTCCGCCTCACCTCACCTCACCCCACCTCACTGCACCACACCTCACCTCCCTTTCTCACCTTCTCCATCCCCTTCACAATGAAGTACCCCCCTCTGTCCTTTGGGCACTCCTCCCTCTGCCACGCGTCCTCTTCTGATAAGCCATTCAGATGGCAGGCATCTGACCTCAGCATCACGGGGACTGACCCCAAATGCACATCCCCCTCCACCCACTCCCTCACCACCCTCTCCTCTACTCTCTCCTCTCCACCACCCTCCTCCCCCCCCTCCTTCTCCCCCTCCTCTTCCTCCCCCTCCTCCTTCTTGACCTTAACCTTTTCCTTTGCTCCTGCTTTTTTCCATGTCCACTGCAGGCCTTCATACCCCAGATCAACATCAACATCCGCACCACCAGCACCATCAGCATCATCAGCACCATCAGCATCAGCACCTGCAGTACCAGCAGCAGCGCTACCAGCAGCACCAGCAGCAGCAGCACCAGCAGCAGCAGCAGAATCATCAAAATTATCATCATCCTCGTCCTCCCACCAAACGGAGCGCTTGCCAGTCTTGAGAGACCTCCTCTGCTCCGCCTGCTTCCTCCTCCTCTGCTCTCTCTTCTGCTGCTTCTGCTGCCTTATTTCTGCCTGTCGAATGGCCTCTTCCGAGGGCTGCTCATACCGACCGCGCTCCACCACTTCAAACACCTGGGAGGGGGAAACCATAGGAAAGCATTTACAAAAAGAGCAATACGAAAAAAAAAAGAGGGGGGGAAAAAAAAAAAAAAACATTTTTTTCAAAACCCCCAAAACCCTTCACCTGGCTTGCTGTGCCCCAAACCGCACTGTACCGCTTTCTCCACACACTTTTTCCACCTGGATACTAGCCATGCTCGAACCCCCGCCCCAACCCCCCCAACAGCAGCAGAACGAAACCATGTTCCCAGCCCCTACAACCCCTCACCTGAACGCGCACAGACCCTCTCAAATCCCCACTGTAAGTCCGATTCTCAAAATTTTCTAAACCCTCTGTCTGCACCCCCAACTGCAGTGCACCATGTTTTCCTCACCTGAATGCGCAGCGATCCTCTCAGATCCCCACTGTATGTCCGATGCTCGCGCCGCGCCTGGCTAGGAAGCAGCGGGGAAGATTCCCTTAGATTCCCCACTCCAGGAGGGTGTGAAAACATGTGCCCTGGATCTCCCGATAGAACCCTGTCCGAATAGCCCCTCCCCGGATACAGGCCCCCCACTCCTTCTTCCGTTTGCTTCCCCTTCCCCTTCCTTCCACTCTTCTTCTTGTCTTTCCTCCTCTTCTTCCCGATCTTCCCTCCCCTATCCCCATCGTTCTCCTCGTCCTCTTCTTCCACCATTTTCACATCCACATCTTCGTTAATGTCTTCTCCGTTACCAGCCAGCGAGCTCGCCCCTAGTGCAGCAGCGGTACCAGCAGCAGTATCACCCAGATCTGCCATCCCAAAAGGATGAACGAGCGGGCGGGTGAAGACGGGCTCTTGGAGGAAAATACGTATCCCAACGCCTACCACCCGATATGTGACACTATCGAGATTGTGGTTGCGCGGGTTAGCAGGGGTGATTGTGTCACTGACCTTCAAAGGAATGTGTACCTAAAGGGAACGGGAAGGAGGAGGGGAGGGGAGGGGGGGGGGGGGGGCAGGAGGACACATGATCAAAGGGAGGGGACAGACGGAACTAGCAGACGGGTTCAAACAGGGTTGGCAGAGGTTACAGTGTGCCGTTGATTCTGAAAGAGAGTGAGAGCGGGGCTCCACAAAAGGGTAAGAAGTTAAGAACATTGGTTAAAACCTTCAAAAGTGAGAACATGCAAAGCAAGGCCGGTTCAGGCCCTAGTGTTCACCTGAACCGGCCTGTGGCCAGCCACGATGCGAGGGAGGCGGCGCAGGAAGCGATTAAAGGAGTGCAGGTGGTGGGACACCAGAGAGTGAGCGGGCCACACTGCCTCTGACTGGAGTGTGGTGAACACTAAGTCAACTAGAGATGCCTCACCTGAACCGGCCTGTGACCAGCCACGATGCGAGGGAGGCGGCGCAGGAAGCGATTGAAGGAGTGAAGGTGGTGGGACACCAGCCCGCTCCCTCTGACTGCAGCTATCGCCACGTCTTGGAATGACAACACCGCTGGTGGCTTCTCCTGCTGCTTCTGCCGCAGGAAACTTTCTGGTGCTGGTGCTGTTGGTGCTGGTACTGGTGATGCTCCTGCCACTCCCTCCGCCTCTACCTCGTCCCCTAGCCCCTGCTGCATCTCTTGCTCTTCCTGCATCGCTTCTTGCGTCGCCATCTCCCCTTTGCTGAGTCGCAGTCCTTTCTGAAATTCTTCTTCTGAAATTCTTCTTCTGAAATACTTCTTAGCTGGAGATTGCTTCAGAGAGCTGGGTTGGAGATGGAGGGATGAGAAGCAGGGCATATGTGGTGGAGACAGCTGGATTTGAGGCGTGAAAGGATGTCAAGGGACGAGAAGCAGGAGATTGGTGATACATGAACCACACAAAGCGCGCCGCAATAGGGTTCTAATAAAAATAATGGTAGATAATGGCAGGACTACTAATCATGCCGAGAAAAATACCGCACCAGCTTGTAAACACAGCTAGTTCCTCGTAGGACTGAACACGCCGCGATAAGAATGATCGAACATGGGGAAAGTGGAAAATCTGTGTACTTCAGCAACAAAATTTGCGTATCGCAAATTCTCCGGTGTCTGAACGGGACTAATTTCAGCCACTGATGAAAATGTGCACACGAAATCGGGAAACAAATATTATCGGCTGGAGAAGCACATCAAGCACTTTGTACTGAGTCTACAGAAAATGGCGCTCAACCGAAAGCAGTGCACAACAAAATGGTGCTGAATTGGTTTCAGGGAGTTGTCATGGACTGACTTCAATGCGGTTTGGTGAGATGTTGTGCTTGGAAAAGCGGTTTCTTTACAGACCAACAATCTGTCAGGTTGGTTTCAATGCAGCTGTTACACTAAATGACGGATTGTCCGTGCGAGAGGTTGATGCGACGTCGCATCACTGGGTTGTCCGTCGGATCGGATTGCCCGGCTGTTACACTGAAAAACTTCGAAGAGCACGAACGCTGGCGAACCACTTCCTCGTAGCCGTAACCCCGGCATTTCTCGTCCCACCGTGTGTCGGTGCTGGGAAACTCCGAAGGATGCCCCCAACTGTGACCTCCAGCCCATCAAGTTGATTCGGGACGTGGTAGAGCGAAGAAGCACGAATGCTCATTGCGAGTCGCGAGGCGATTTCGTGCACACAACGATGAGTCAACTCTTTTCCATCGAGTTTCCTCCAATAACTCAGATCCCAAGGCTGTGAAATTGTTCAAAACTGATCCCGAGGATGCCAGAACTTTTCCTAATTACCACTCTCTAATTAGCTTCTCCTAGTCCATCTTTCATTGTCAGGATACCCCTTTCAAATACCAGATAGTTTTCAAAAGACCGACACGTATGTGAGTCGGCTATTAAGTCACTAATAATCTTAACTTATTTCATCTGGGTGTGCATGACCCGACTAGATCATCGCTTTCTGACCTAAATTTGCAGCAGTGTCAGCAGTAGCGAAGTCTAAATCCGTGCATGGCCGCCGCGCCGACCGGCGGGACCGGCGGAGTCGCAGAGGCTGTTCAGTACGACGCGGGCACGGGCATTTACACCGTTAAGAACAAGCCGTGGCCAGGTGCGTGACGATTATTTAGAATCCTTAGAAACTGGCAGTTTAGTACAACGCGAGAACAGGACGCGAGCACATGAATATACGACGCGAGAACAGGAACAGGCGACGGGAGAATAGGAATTTCCGACGCGAGCACATGACACAGGCACAGTAATATACGACGCGAGCACAGGCCTGGTTAACAGACAACAACAAGCCCTAATCAGGCTGTGTCCCAGCGCGAGCTTCTTTTGAGGCGCCTCAAAACTCGTCTCATTACAAGCGCTGGTCAGTCTATGACGAGCTTTTTTCGCTCATTCCGTCTAAATGCAACAGAAGTTTTGTGTCACTGAAAATAGACACCTATTTAGTCTTCTTGCCGTCATTTGGTTCATTTTCTGCCGTTCTTAGGTTTCCATTTCAGTCTCAGTCTTCCTGTGACCCTCCCTTACCCACCGTTCTATTTTACAACTACCAACCAGGGGGTACAGTGTCTGATATCACTCGCCTCGTCTAGACTTTTGAGTGGACTCAAAAGTCAAAAGTCACTTCTTGAGTGGTTTCAAAGGTCAAAATTCACTTCTTGAGTGGACTCAAAAGTCAAAAGTCACTTCTTGAGTGATTTCAAAGGTCAAAATTCACTTCTTCAGTGGACTCAAAAGTCGTCTCGTCACGCGGTACAGTGTCTGATATCACTCGTCTAGACGTGGAAACCACAGTTCTCTTATCACCTGAAACATCCATCTCTCAAGGCTCTCTCCCTCCTTCCCTCCCTGCTCTCTACCTTCCCTGTCTTGGCCCTGGTTACATTGCAACAGTGGGATCTCGCTACACGGTGCACTGTCTGATAGGTTCTGGCTCATACGGGGATGTCTGCAAGGCCACTGACAATGAGACAGGCGAAACCGTTGCCCTCAAGGTGAGTAATTCTGAGTCGCTTTTACCATCTGTAACTTTGTGCATGTACTACCAGTTTTTCTTCTTGGGCCCTTATTACCCTGTCAAAGGTCAAGGCAGTTTATTCAATTAATGTGCTTCTGCGTAGTCATTCCAATTGTAGCCACCCTCTTGTTTATCCAATTTCCCTGTTGTGTGTGTGTATGTGTGTATGTATATGTGTGCGTGTGCCTGCCTGCCTGTTTTATGTAAACAGCGCATTGCGGATGTGCTGTGCTGCCCCATGCTGGCCAAGAGACAGAGAGTGCTGCGAGAGGTCGCATCATGCGCCGCCCTGTTAATCCAAATCCCTATCCTGTCTGTGTCTCTGTGCGTGTGCCTGCCTGCCTGCGATGTAATGTAATGTGAGCAGCGAATTGCGGATGTGCTGTGCTGCCCCATGCTCGCCAAGAGAGTGCTGCGAGAGGTCTGCATCATGCGCCGCCTCTCACACCCATACGTCATCCGATGTGAGACCAAGGCAGATGTGAGAAGCAGGCAGATGTGAGAAGCAGGCAGATGTGAGAAGCAGGCAGATGTGAGAATAGCAGGCAGATGTGAAAATAGCAGGCACGCATTCTTATTGTAATCACTGGACGCACATGAGAGAGTGCTTCGAGAGGTCTGCATCATGTGCCGCCTCTCACACCCATACGTCATCCGATGTAAGAAGAACGATGCACAAGTGCATGTGTTTCACATCCGTCGAGGTGTATTTTGAGTCGACTCAAAATACACCTGCACAAGTGCATGTGTTTCACATCCGTCGTCCACTTTCCTTCACTCCCGCCTGCCCTTCGTCTCCCAGCCCCTTGGTCACCCTCCTCTGCACGAACCCTTCCCCATCCCCCCTCTCCCCATCTACTTTGGGTACTCTTCTCCCCCATCCCCCCTCTCCCCCCTCCCAGTGGCGGACGTGTTCACTCGCAAGTCCACTGAGGTGCCAGGGGGATTCGACCTTTACATCGCCACAGAGTACGCTTCAGGGTAAGCCCCTCACACTTCAAATCGCCAGTATGTGTATGTCACAGGGCAAACCTAGCATAGCGTCCGTCCTCCTCCCCTCCCAGTGGCGGACGTGTTCACTCGCAAGTCCACTGAGGTGCCAGGGGGATTTGACCTCTACATCGCCACAGAGTACGCGTCAGGGTAAGCCCTTCACTTCACATCACATTGTCAGTGTGCCACGGGGCAAGCCAAGCACAGCCCCCTGAGGTGCCAGGGGGGTTTGACCTTTACATCGCCACAGAGTACGCTTCAGGGTAAGCCCTTCACATCGCAAGTATGCTTTGGGGTGTTAAGCATAGGGCGTACCGCTTACGGTGAAAGTTTGAATCAACTCCAAGGCCTTTGGCCTGCAACAACGAAGTGTGGTTACAAACAGCTCAGCTCTGGTGGCTTTTGAGGCACCTCACCTCACGCATCTCAAAGGTCGGTTTTGACCTTGCAGATAGATATACATTGCGGCCGAGTAGGCCAAAGATGTATCCACCTGACCTGAGACCTCTACCCTTTTTTTTTTTTCGTGAGGCTCCTTAGAAAAAGGTACTACGTCTATCCGGGCTGGGCGGCTGAGTTGATTACTTCAACTTTACTCCTTGTCCCACCCCTCGTCTCCCTTTCCCCTCCCTCTCCCCACTCCCCAGGGGGGACCTGTATTGTTTCAAGGAGCCACTAACACCAGAGGACGTTAGGCGATTGATATAACACCTCAACCCCTTCCTTTCCTAAAAACCCCCTGCGCCCTTCTTCCCTTCCCCCTCCCTTTTCCCTCCCCTTCCTGTCCCTTCCTCCCTCCCCAGTGGCGACCTGTATCGGTTCAAGCAGCCGCTAACACCAGAGGATGTGAGGCGACTCATATGGCAGCTGCTGGTGGCAACCCGCTATCTGCACTCCTGCCACGTCTGGCACAGGTGGGTGTATTTTGGGTGTGTCTGAGTGGGTGAGGCCTCCCAGAGTAAAGCTCTCAAAGGTATCGCTTCAAGCAGAGCAGCCACTAACACCAGAGGACGTGAGGCGACTCATATGGCAGCTGCTTGTGGCAACCCGCTATCTGCACTCCTGCCACGTCTGGCACAGGTGGGTGGGATGCGATCCCTTGAGTAGATTTGCTGCTAGTCACTCGTCAGCCATCCCCGCCTCCCCCCCACAACTCTCACGTCTGACGCCCCTAACGCCCCGTCCTTCACTCCCCCGCTTCCCGTCTTCCTCTCTCCCCTCAGAGACATCAAGTCAGAGAACACGTTCCTCCACGCCAACACCACACCACGAGCTGCCACACCACGTCCCCCACTCACTTCCCATCTCTCCCCAACTCTCCCCAACTGCCACTCCTATTCACGCTTCTGACTCCCCCAATGCCCATTGTCTTTTGAGACGTCTCAAAAGTCGCTTCTGACTCCCCCAATGCCCATCGTCTTTTGAGACGTCTCAAAAGTCGCTTCTGACTCCCCCAATGCCCATCGTCTGCTCCCCTCAGAGACATCAAGTCAGAGAACACGTTCCTCCATGCCAACACCACTCTCTTGCACGCCTGCCTGACTTTTGTAATTCCCGTCCTTCGCTCCCCTGCTTCCTGTCTTGTCCATTACTCCTCACAGAGACATCAAGTCAGAGAACACGCTGCTCCACGCCAACACCACACTGAAACTCTGCGACTTTGGCCTCTCTAGATCCGCCTTAGGGGTGAGTGAGTCCTTCCTTCCTTTCCCTGCCTGCCCGGAATGGTCGTAAGACGTGAGTCGTCGTGACCCACTCCTGCTGCTCACACGTCCCCTTCTTCTTACGCCGTCTCCCCTCTCCTCCAACCCATCTGTCCCCGTCTCCCATTCTCTCTCTCCCCCTCCCTCGCTTCTCCCACACTCTTTCCTCTTGCCCTTTTCTGTTCCTCCCCGGACGCACCCATTCCAGTCGGGGCAGCCAATGCAGCCGCGCAGTGCGCCGGACGAGAAGGGGGCAGCGGCGGGGAGGAAGCAGCACGTGCTACAGTGCAGAGGCAGCACGCTCCTGATGGCTGAATCAAGTGCTCCTGAAGGCAGTTCCCCACTCACTCTCTCCCCTCTCCGTCTTGTCCCACACTCTCTCCCCCCCGCGTGCATGTCCTACCCTGCGGTTCCTCCCTCGCGCACACGTGATTCCAGTCAGGCCAGCCAATGCAGCCGCGCAGTGCGCCGGACGAGAAGGGAGCAGCAGCGGGGAGAAAGCAGCACGTGCTGCAGAGGCAGTTCACCAAGATGGTCGTCACCCCCAGCTACCGCGCCCCTGAGGTGGTCATGTCTCGAGGCCAGTACACGTCAGCTATCGACATGTGAGTTGCGTTGAAAAGCTGGTTTAGGGCTGAGGGTGCTTTTGCAAGATGGTTGTCACCCCCAGCTACCGCGCCCTGAAGTGGTCATGTCTCGAGGCCAGTACATATCGGCCATCGACATGTAAGTCTCCCACTCGTGTTCCTTCCTGTTGCTTCTGGGATTTTATCTAAACTCCACTCCAAGGCTCCAAGTATGCATGTACCCACTTTCTTCTCAGTCAAATCCCCACCCTGCTCCCTCTCTTTGAACGAACCAAGCACCTGTTTTCCGCCGTTGCACTATTTCGTCCATCTTTCTCCTTTCCCTCACATTCATTCCCTTTTCCACTTTCCCATTCTCCCCTCCTGATCCCGTCCCCTTCCCTCCCCCCTCCCGTCTTCCCCACCTTGCGACATATCTCTACCTGCATGGGACGACCTTCACTTGTCTCCTGCTTGTGCAACATCTCTCTCGATCTCCTCATCCCAATTTAGCTGGTCACTCGGCTGTATTTTCTGGGTAAGCTTTTTTGCCTGGAAGAATATGTAACTCGTCTTTCTTCACTGAGCACTCCCAAAAGAGGAATTGAACGCGGATACACTTCCATGTGTTTTGAAAGTTCGTAAATTCTCATATTTATCATCCCACTTCCCCTCGCCTCTACCCTGAACAAATTAAGACCTTCCTCCATTCTGCCCATCCTCCCCTCTCAGGAGCTTTTGATGAGAGCCATGCGACCCCATCGCCCAGGGCCCCCATCAAGGCCACTCTTTGGCATCAGGTGGGCCTCTGTTGCCACCAGGTGGGCCTCTGTTGCCATCAGGTGGGCCTCTGTTACCATCAGGTGGGCCTCTGTTGCCATCAGGTGGGCCTCTGTTACCATCAGGTGGGCCTCTGTTGCCATTAGGTGGGCCTCTGTTGCCATTAGGTGGGCCTCTGTTGCCATCAGGTGGGCCTCTGTTGCCATCAGTGGGCCTTTGTTGCCATCAGGTGGTCCTGTCTGGCCGTCAAGAGGTCCTCTGTTGCCATCAGGTGAACCAGTGACCCTAAATCTCCTCCCCTTGGATTGAATCACAGGGGCGAACCAGTGTCATCGGCACGCCCTGCTGGCTGGAAGGACATTGAGAGCGTGCCCAGCAATGCCTGGCGAGCGTACCAGAAAAGGCTCCTCCTGTAAAAGGAATCGCTGTCCTGTTTGGTTTCCTCTTGGAATTCCTGAACAGGAATCAGGCTTTTCCTGATGATTCCTCTTTTTTCTGTTCTGTCCTGTTTGGTTTCCTCTTGGAATTCTTCCCGACCCACACACACCCCGATCTGCTCTCTGCATCACAGGGGCGAGCCAGTGACCCCGGAAACAGGGGAAAAATATGTAGACGACAACGAGTCACCTCTCGCTGACCAGCTCGACGTGATATTCGATGTCATCGGCACGCCCTGCTGGAAGGACATTGAGAGCGTCCCCAGCGATGCCTGGCGGGCGTTCCTCAAGAGGCTGCCGGGGCGGGCGGGCAATCTGGCCAATCAGATGGCGCCATGTGGCGACCCCGAGGCTGCAGACCTGCTCCATCGCATGCTGGCGTTTGATCCCTCCAGGCGGTGCACTGCGGAAGAGGCACTAGCTCACACTTATGTAAGTGTGGTGTCGTGCATGGATGAGTGTGTCCTGCTGCTTTTCACTGCCCACACCAAACCCAATCCGTAAATCTTAAAGCCCGAGGCTGCGGACCTGCTCCACCTCATGGTGGCGTTCGATCCCTTCAGGCGGTGCACTGCCGAAGAGGCTCTCGCTCACACTTATGTAAGTGCTAATTATTGTATTGATTTGTAAGAGCCAGACAGTTCCTCCAGGGGCTGCTTAGGCTAGTCCGTGCTGCTGGTCTCTGCTCATTTACACCAAACCGTTAACATTAAGGCCTTGGCTTTCTCGTTTCTGTCCAGTCCACCCCTCCCTCGGAACTCCATCTGATTCTGACCCCCACCCCTCCCATTTTCGCATTCTTGAGAAGCCAATGGAGCTGCCACCCATGGAGGCAGAGAACCGTTAAAAGTACACTCGTTACTGATATTGTGTATTGTTTTACTGCTGTCTGATCTGGTGTCTCTTTGTCTATCCGCATCTCTACTCCTGTCCCACCCAGTTCCGCAGTCTTGAGAAGCCCATGGAGCTGCCACCCATGGAGGCAGAGGGCTGTTGAGCAAACTCAAAAGCTACTGCTCTCGGGTGTCCCATTGTCTATTCCCCTCCCTCTCCCATTATACCTCCCAGTTTCGCAGCCTTGAGAAGCCTATGGAGTTGCCACCCATGGAGGCAGAGGAAACGCCCGTGTCTCTGCCTCAGGACCACCACTTCTGGCAGATCACCGATCCTGCTATCGCTCTTGGGCTGTTAGAGGTGCGTGTTTGTAAATCTGAGTGTGCAGATATGCATATGAGAGCGACTACGTGGGGCGTTAGAGGAAACGCCCGTGTCTCTGCCGCAGGACCACCACTTCTGGCAGATCACCGATCCTGCTATCGCCCTGGGGTTGCTAGAGGTGCGTGTGAGTTTCGAGTGTGCCAGTATGGGTGAATGTGTGTGTGGGTATGTGTGGGTGGGTGTGTCTCTGCCCACCACTTCTGGCAATTTTTTAACCCTTCCAGTACCCTGCTACACCGTGACAATAAAAGTGTGCTGAGATTAGTTTTGAGGCGCCTCAAAACTAGACAATAAAAGTGTGTTGAGATGTCTCAAAACAATTATTAGCCCCTCAACTACCCTGCTGCTACTCCTTCGCTCTCCTCTCATTCTCCCGATCTTCCTCTCCCTGGTCGCAGAGGGAGCTGGAGCAAGCAGCATACGAGCCGGATGGGGGAAAGAGGAAGCTGGAATGGCTGCTCGAGAGAGAAGCAGAGGGGCAGCAGGTATGTGTAAAGCACCGCAAGAGAAGAGAATGCATAGGGTGGACCCAGAAGGTATACTTTATCTGCACACTCTACTCCTCAAAATATCCATTTTGTTCTACATCCACATTTCTCGATTCTCCTTCCGTTCTCACTCTTCCGACTCATTCCTCATTCTGCTCCCCCTCTCCAGGTGCAAAACTGTACTTGCATTGCAACTCCATGTTGCACACGCTCCTAGCCCTCATTCATGCCTTGGCCAATCGCCTTCGCTCTTTGCCTTTTGAAGTGGATTAAATATCATTCCCTCCCTCTGTTAATTCTCTCCCCTCTCCTCACTCTCCTCATTCCTCCTTCGCCAGGTGCAGAACTTTATTCGCAACTCAATGCTTCGCACGCTCCTCGGCCCTCATGCCTTGGCCAATCGCCTTCGCTCTTTGCCTTTTGAAGTGAATTAAATATCATTCCCTCCCTCTGTTAATTCTCTCCCCTCTCCTCACTCTCCTCATTCCTCCTTCGCCAGGTGCAGAACTTTATTCGCAACTCAATGCTTCGCACGCTCCTCGGCCCTCATGCCTTGGCCAATCGCCTCGCGACGTCTGTCGGTGCACGAGTAGGGCGTGGCCCGCAGCAGCAGCAGCAGCAGCAGCAGCAGCAGCAAGTGCGTCAGCAGGAGCCACAGCAACAGCTGCAACAGCCGGGGCAACAACAGCAAGCGCAACAGCAGCAGGGGCAACAGCAGCAGCAGGGGCATCAGCAACTACAGCTGCAGCCACAGCTTCAGGCACAACTGCAGCAGCAACAGCAGCAGCAGATGGTAACAGCAGGAGTGCAGGCAGGTTCAACTGGGGGAGGTTCAACTGGGGGAGGTTCAACTGGGGGAGGCTGTACTGGAGCGGTAGGACTTGAGGCAACTGGAGGGGCGGCGGGAAGAGTACAGCAGCAGCAGCAGCAGCAACTCCTCCTGTTATTGCTTCAGCAGCAGCAGCAGCAGCAGCAGCAACAGCAGCAACAACAACAACAGCAACAACAGCAACAGCAACAACAGCAACAGCAACAACAGCAGCAGCAACAGCAGCAGCAACAACAGCAGCAGCAACAACAGCAGCAGCAACAACAGCAGCAACAACAACAGCAGCAACAGCAGCAGTTACTGGAACAGCAGCTGCTACAGCAGATGCAAGCTGCAATTGGCTCCTCCACAGCTACAACACCAGGTCAGTTCCCCTCTGCTACAGCCGCTACAACCGCCCCAGCCGCTACAGCTGGTGCAGCTGCTGCAGCCATCCCTGCAGCAGCCAACTCAGTTGACCTGATCGCGAAAGTGCAACGCCAAGCCTTAAGGCTTCTTTCTGCTTCGGACCCTTCTCTCATCCCCTCTCTCCTCTCCTCCTCCTCCTCCGCCTCCTCCTCTGCTCCTCCCCCCCGCCTATCAAGCTCCCTAACTGCTGCTCTTCAGAGAAAATCGCGAATGGCTGCGACTGCTACTGCCGCTGGCACTGCTGCTGCTTCTGCTGCTGCTGCTGCTGCTGCAACTGCTGCTGTTACTGCTGCTGCTGCTGATCGCAATGGCTCTGGCCATTCTGCTGCTGCTGCTGGAGGTGTTGCTGGTGTTGGCGGTGGTGCTGCTGGTGGTGGTGCTGCTGCTGCTGCTGCTGCTGCTGCTGCTGGTGCTGCTGGTGGTGCTGTTAGCGGCGGTGCTGCTGCTGGTAGTGGTGCTGCTAGCGGTGGTACTGATGCTGCAGCAGGAAACACGAGAGATAAGGCTGACAATGCAAGCAGTGCTTCAGATTTGACCTCTTCATCCCAAGCCATGACTGCACTTCTGGAAGCATACATGAGGCAGAAACAGCAGCGGCAGCAACAGCAGCAGCAGCAGCAGCAGCAGCAGCAGCAGGTACAGTTTGCGCCCAATCCCGCTGCTGCTGTTCACCAGCTGCAGGAGTCGCTCAGGAGAAAACAACAGAAGGCAGCAGCTTCTCAGGTGCCACAGCAGCAGCAGCAGCAGCAGCAAGAGCAGGTGCAGGATCCAAGGCGACGGCAGCGGCAGCAGGGGCAATGGCAGGGACAGCAGCAGCAGCAGCAGCAGCAGCAGGAGGAGCCATCTCTCTGTCTTGGTGTGGAAAACAGTACTCACAACAATGCTCTGGATACTGCTCAAAATAATGCGCAGAATAATGCACAGAACAGTGCACAGGACTTGCAACTCAACGTTTTGTCTCAAGTGAGCCAGGGTGATCATCAAGACACTCAAGGTATTTCTCAGGGTTGTCAGGTTCCGCAAGGCATTCCCGGACTGGCTGAAATCATGATGCCGCCCCGAACCATGATGAGGCTGCAGCAGCAGGGGGGACAACAGATGCAGCAGCAGCTGCATCAGCAGTTATTTCAGCAGCAAGAGTTGCAATTGCAGCAGCAACAGTTGCATATACAGCAGCAACAGCGAGAGATGCAGCAGCTGCACCCGCGGGAACAGGAACAGGAACAGCACGAGAAACAAGGGGAGGAGGATGGGCAGCATAAGCAGTTTCAGTATCAGCAGCAGTCTCAGCACTTCAGCTTTTTCCCAAGGGTAAATTCCCCTTTTCAAGACCGAGGAGCAGGCATATCATCCGAATCTAGCCCCTCGTCCTTGGGATCAAGAAGGGGTGGGCGAATGGATATAATGGCTTCCGTGGCTGCGGCTGCGGTTCGGGCAGTCGATTCCGAGGCTGCAGCACGGTCCATGTCAGGTACAGGTTCTGACGAAGGCACGGGCGGAGGTGTGGAGGTTCGGCAGGACACGCCAGGTTCGGACAGTTTGAGTTTTAATGCGTTTAGTGGGAGGGTACGGTCCCGATCTCCCTTGGGGAGTGAAGCTGAGATGCCACACGCAAAAAGGATTGCAAGAAGTGGCTTTAGCGAAGATGGTCGAGTGTGAAAAGAAGTGGAATCATCTTAGAAAATAACCAGGTGCATGATTGAATCATGATTCATGGAACTAGGAAGGAAAATTAGGATACCATGAGACAAGAAGATTGTTGTCAATTGTGATGTGTGGTGGAACATGTTTCTCTACCAAATGGAAACACTAATGTAAGCTGCATCATACAGATTTCATCCAAAAACAAGAGGCGACGAGATCGTCTTAGGGTTGCGAAGCGCTTTGCATAGCTAACACATACCGTCATCGCCCGGATATAAGACATATATGTCTTATCTCGTACACGGGCAAAAATGCTTGATGTATCTTGTAAACGGGATGGTTTAGGGTGTCTTATAAGTCTTATAAATGGAAAAAAATTTAAGTTGACTGTAACACTTGCAAAGTGTGTAGAAAACAGCCAGGGACCAGATTCATTGAAACAGGCCGCCCTCGGTGGCCATGCATGCACCGCCCACACTTGCCACGTGAGGGATGCAGCAAAGCTGCCACCGCTGGCAAGATTCCTCTGCGTTGGCAGCATCTAATGATGCTGCCAGCGTCGTTTTGCTGCCAGCAGCGCATGGCAGCTTCCAGAAGGCTGCCAGCAGCACGTTGGCAGCAACAGGGCTGTCCTCTACGAGGACATGCCTCGTAGAGGAGCGGCTCGGTACCTGTGGATGGGGCACTCTGACAGGGGGGGGTAGTCGGGCTTTCAATTCATTTGGTGCTCATGGAGGTTGAGTTCTCTCCTCAACCTTGCTCTCGGCAGGCTCTCTAACCATGCGCAGCAAGGTACCCCTAGGCAAGTCCTCACCTCGTCCTCACGTCCATGTGAATAACTACGGGCGAATTAACTCGCCCGGCGATGACATCCGCGCAGCCATGGCGAAGAACGCGAGCAAGGCGGGAAGTCGTACCGCCGCCTCCGGTGCGAGCTGTGACGGGGACGCCCAAGACGAAGCACAAGGCGACGACGCGGAGGAGGATTGGCCGGAGAACGGCCACGACGACAGCGCTTCGGGCGACGGATTAGGTCCTGCCGACATTGAGGAGGACGAATGGTGGAATCAGCCGGTCGGGAGCGACGACGAGGTTGAAGAGTGGCGGGCTGGTGATTCCGACAACGACGGAGGTGAAGATGCTGGCGGTGAACACGCGGAGGCACAGGAAGCGGCGGTGGCAGCCGACGAGGCCGCGGCGGAACGCGAGACAGCGGCGCCTGCGGATGCTGACGCGGTGGCGGAGGGGGACAAGGTGGCTGCGGATGCCGTCTTATTGGACGGCGAGGGCACCGATGAGGACCCCTGGAGCCTTGCTTCGGACGACGACGTGCCGCTACTGAAGCGGAGGCTGCGCCATCGCATCCAGTCCACGACGAAGCGCGCCCGCGTGGTGCTTTCGGACGACGACAGTGCCGGGGAGGAGCGTCGCCCCCTACTCAGCGACGCGGAGAAAGGAAAGGCGAAGGTCGTGGAAGCCCCTGCTAAGTACCCTGCTAAGGCCCCTGCAAAGGCCCCTGCTCGTCGCCGCACAAGCAACAAGAAGCGCAAGGACGACGGTGACCCTAGATCCAGCAAAGGTGCGGCTAGGAAAAAGGCGAAGAAGGCGCCCAATCCTGACGACATCATCGTCAACGAGGCGTTGGGCAGCGACGATGAGTACGCGGCGGCGGCGGGCCCGATTCCCACGTTCCCTGAAAAGGAGAACCCTAAGGACCCCACCCTCTCTAACCCCAACACCCGCCCACCTTCCCCTCGCAGCAAAGACTCCACGAAGAAGCGCCGCGGCTGGACCGTGCGTGAGAAGCTCAAGTGTGCGCGCCGCTATAAGGAGCTCGGCTCCCTGAAGAAAACAAGCGTGGAGTCCACCGCGAGCGTCGCCTGCATCAGACGCTGGAGCGCGGAAGCGGCTGCGGGCATCTACAAGGGCGCGGCTAACTGCCGCAAGCGGATGCACGGGGGGGGCGCCACGCACACTACCCCGACATGGAGGCAGCGTTGTACCGCTATATCTGCCTTCAACGAGCTAACGGGGTGGCCATCTCGGTGAAGGACACCCAGAAGTGGAGCCGCGAGTGGATGAAGAAGCATCACCCCGGCAAAAACTGGAACGCGAGCTCTCACTGGAGCCAGCGTTTCCGTGACCGCTGGAACCTGGTGATGCGGGTGAAAACGAAGGTCGGACAACGTCTGTCGGCAGGTGCGTGGATAAGGAATTCGTCCCCTTGTATGCATGTTTAACCTTGCTCGGTGTCTAACCGCCCCTCCACGCTTCTGTTTCTGTCCCGTTTGCAGAGTGCGCGAAGGACTGCGAGTCCTTCTGGAAGTTCGTCCGCATCAACCGCGCGCGCCACAACATCGACCTCACGCGTATCATCAACGCGGACCAGACGCCACTGTTCGTGGAGATGCCGGCCGAGAGGACGATCGAGCACCGTGGCGCGCGCTCGGTCCCAATCCGCACTGCAGGCTACCAGAAGACGCGCTTGACGGTGATGCTAGCGTGCACCGCATCCGGGGATAAGCTGCGGTCGTGGGGGTGGTTCAAAATGAAGAACGTCCCCAACTGTGAGATTCCGGACGGTAAGCGCCGTGAATTCTACCTTGCCCTTGCCGTGCGAGCGTGCCCCACTGTGCTGATGCCCGTCTGTCCCTTGTGTGCCTGGCAGGAATCGTGGTCCAAGCACAGGACAACGGGTGGATGGACGAGAGCGCTGTGCAGACCTGGCTGTCCAAGGAGGTGCTGCCCCATCTGAACCCCCAGCGCGGCCAGAGCGCAAGGCGTGCGATGCTGGTGTTGGACTCCTACCGCGGCCACATCACCCAGACCATGCTTCAGTCGTACCGCACGCACAGCATCACCCCTGCAGTCATTCCAGCGGGTTGTACGAGCCAGATTCAACCCCTGGACGTCTCCATCAACCGGTGCTTCAAGGCTGCCGTGCGAGCGCGCTACGCCAGGTGGTTCATGCGTGAAGGGATTCACCTGAAGACGAAGAAGGGTGAGTTGGCTGTTCATTTCGAGTTCCTGCTCTGTTTCGTGTCCTTGTCGTTAACATCCCGCTGCCGTGCCCTATCTCCCACCCGTCAGGGAACCTGCGGAGGCCTCCGCACCCCGTGGTGCTGCAGTGGATCGCGGAGGCTTGGGATCAAGTCCCCAGACAGATAATCATCGACGCGTTCCGCCACTGTGGCATCTCCAGCAAGCTGGACGGAACGGAGAATCACCTGGTGATGTCTCACCTGCGCGCCAGGAGCACCACCGATGTCTCCGAGGACATGTCCCTCGGGGGGACCACAGGCGACAACACGCGCCTGCTCGGGAAGGCTCCAGTGGAGGAGGAGGAGGAGGAGGAGGAGGAGGAGGAGGAGGAGGAGGAGGAGGAGGAGGAGGAGGAGGGGGAGGAGGAGATGCAGGCGGAGGGCGTGCGGGAGGTGGCCGTGGCAACTGGCCTAGAGGTGCTGTACCAGGAGACCCCCAACTACCGCGGAGCGGCGGCCGAGGCTGACCGCATGATCGAGCCTAGGGAGACCGCTAGGCATGCCTGGCGAGTGCCAGACTTGAGTGTAGAGCCTGTTGCTAGTGCTCCAGAGGAGGCGGTGACGGAGGGGGGTTAGGTAGAAGTAGAGATTCATTCATGTATGGATGTACCCCCCTAAAGTAAGAAAGGTTCGTTTAGAAGACACCCCCTTTTTAGAAGAAAACCCCTAAACCCTGGTTCTGATTATAAGACATATATGTCTTATCTCGTACACACAAATAGGTGTCGTATAAAAAGGCTAGCCTGTTTATAAGAGACACCCGTATAGTAGACAACCCCTGTCTACTATTCAACACTGTCTTATATCCGGGCGATGACGGTATTGTTCAACTTATAATATCAAGAATATATCTTGTTTTGTATGGATGTCTTAACTTTAAGATCGAAGACGTAACTCAGGTCGAAGTTTACACAATTGGGCCTATAAGAAGTCGAACCCTAAACCTTTCGGTTGAAATTGAAATTTTACCGACTACGCCACCACAGGTGTTCGCAATACGAAACAAAAATAAATGGTACTAAAGTGACGCGATGAAACACCAACAACCTTAGGGTTTGGTGGCTCTCTTCTTTTCCCTCCCTCTCTTCTTCTCGCTGGTCACGCTCTACCAACTCAGCCTAGTCTAACTGCAAATAAGGTGAGAAGATCCTTCAGCTCTAACTCCAACTAAGTTAGATGCCTATTAGATAGACTAAAATTTAGTCATCTCGTATCTTAGCGGATTACTTGTCAAGATTCTAGGCAAGAATGATGGCAGTAGGCTTAGGAGCCATAGGCTTAGAGGCCAGTAGCTAGGGCTTAGGGTTTCTGAAAGAGAATTGAAGAAGGAAGGGGTTTGAACTAGCAGCAGCAGGATACAAATAGGAAACCCTAATGGGCTGTACTCGCTACAGAGTACCCCACTGCAGGCTAGACAAACATAACATTCTGACATTACTATTAGCTAGACTAGTCGTTTAAACTTAGGTTCTAGGGCCTTCGTAAAAATTTCAGGTTCTCCTTGTTATTTTTTTTTTGTAAGATTTCGTATCTTCTATTCTTCATCGTTACCGTAGTTTCCATTTCGTCGGTTTCCTTTTCTTCATAATTGCATGTTCTAGTTTTTTCTTTTTCAACCTCGTCTTAGGTTGTACATTACGATTATAATAGGCTGCATGTTTAGTCCATTTTGTTCTTGTCAGAAGTAGTAGGCAAAGTTTAGAAACAGAAAGAGGGTTTGGACTAGCAGCAGTTGAGATACAAATAGCAAACCCTAGATTGGGCTGTACTCGCTATAGAGTACCCCACTGCAGGCTATGTCAGAATCACTAGGCAAGAATGATGAACTAGCAGAAGTTTGGGTACAAATATGAAACCCTAGTTGGGGTTGTACCCCATATTGGCTACCCCACTACAGCCTACAAGCATACTACAGTTTAACACACCCCCATAGGCAAAGTGGGGGAGAACAAAGGGTCACAAGACCAGTCCAGCAAAGCAAAGCAACGCCCAGGGTGGATCACAACGTCACCACACTCCGAGCACAAGTAAAGGCCACAAGGCCAGTTCACATGCAGTGTTATATATAGTACAAGACAAGCAACACAGTGATCAAAACCTAGCAAGCAAGCAACAAGATATATATAAAGTACAGTACAAAGAATGTCAAGCAGTGAGCAAGTGAGGAAACGTGGACACAAGGCCTAAAGAAGTACAGTGCCGCTGATGATCACTAGGCGGGAGCGCCTTGGTGAAGATATCAGCAGTGTTGGCCTTCGAGTCCACGTACACAAGCCGAAGCTGACCGCGCTGCTGAAGCTCTCGAGCAAGAAAGTAGCGAAGAGCAATGTGCTTCGTCCTGTGCTCCAGTCTGTGCTCCTGACACAAGGCAAGAGCCGCCTTGTTGTCACCGTACAGAACTGGAGGAGAACTAGGCCGCTCTCCCAAGTCAGTCAGCAGGTAGGTGAGCCAGCGTAACTCCTGTGCAGCCATGGCTGTGGCGTAGATCTCAGCCTCACAACTAGAGCCGAGAACAGAGGAAGAGCGGGTGGACCGCCACGAGACAGAACCTGAGCCAAGGCTGAAGGTGTAACCCTGTGACGACCGCTGCGTAGCCAGGTCGTCCACCCAAGAGGCGTCCGAGTGACCAGTGAGGACAACTCTGTCGCGTCCTCCAAGCACCAGCCCCATGCCTGATGTACTGCACAGGTAACGCAGCACCCTCTTAGCAGCCTCCCAGTGCTCTCGCCTGTGTCTCCCAGGCGCAACGTAACGAGCAAGGATGCTAAGAGGGTACGCGAGGTCAGGTCGCGTGCAAGTCATCAGGTACATGAGGCAGCCTACAAGCTCTGGGTACGGGCCACTCGGCTCTACGGACTCGTCCGAAGGTGGAGCTGAGAGCGAGTGGCTGGTAGCCAGAGGTGTGGCCTGTGGTGAGGAGAACTGGAAGCCGAAGCGCTGAAGGACCTGCTGCACCATGTGTGACTGAGTCAGGGTGATGGTGCGGCGAGCTCTGTCCCGGGTGATCTGCAAGCCAAGGTAGCTACGCAGTTCACCCAGGTCAGTGCAGGTGTGTCTCTTCTGCAGCTCCGACTTCACACGAGCGAGTGCCTCAGTGTCAGCAGTAGCAAAGACCAAGTCGTCGACGTACACGAGGATGTAGAACGGCGGCAGCGACGTGTCTGTGCGCAGAAACAGCGACGGGTCAGCAGTAGACGGCGCGAACCCAAGAGCCGCAAGAGTAGTCCTCAGTGTGTCGTGCCACTCACGTGGCGCCTGGCGGAGACCGTAGACTGGCCGGCGGAGACTCCACTGGGTACCAGGGGGAAACGACCCAGTAAAGCCAGGTGGGCGGCGCAGCCAGATCTCCTCGTGCAGGCTGCCCTGCAGGAACGCTGTGCTGAAGTCAAGAGAGTGAAGCTCGTAGTCACGCTGAGCAGCAACGTGCAGCAGAACCCGAAGAGTGGTCATCTTCGGGGTGGGGGAGAAGGTCTGGAAGAAGTCGACCCCCTGACGCTGACTGAAGCCTCTAGCAACGTAACGAGCCTTGAAGACAGGCGGAGAACCTGGCGGCCGCTTCACCCTGAAAATCCACATGCCATCGACGATGTTCGCCCCAGGAGGGGGAACCTCGTCGACGTAGGTGCCTGTGGACTTCCAGGATGCCATCTCTGCGTCCATGGCTGTCTGCCACTGAGAGGAGTAGGGACCCGAGATCGCCTCTGCGTAGGTGCGCGGAGTGGGGATGTCTACTGCATCCGGGTCTCCCTCAGGGGCAAGCAACCAGGCCACGAGATGAGGTACAGCAGCCGCAAGTGAGTCAAAGTCCTCCTGCCTGTCCTCAAGGACGTCCGTGCCAAGAGCACACTCACCCCCGACGGACGGAGGACAGACTGACGCAGACTCTGACTCAGCGACAAGGCTAGCAGCGTAGTCTAGACGACAGGCAGCAGCAAAGTCAACCAACTCAGCGACCAGAGCAGACGCAGCCGAGGACTCAAAGGTGGGGTCAGTGACAACAGTAGCAAGGAGACGCGTGACAGTAGGGTGCTGAGCACGAAACCGGTCAGACGCAGGGTCCGGAACGTCAGGCAAAGAGGACGCAGGAGGAGACGGTAGAGGGACACGCCGAGGAGCAGTAGAGGGACGCAGAGTCATGTAGTGAGTACCTGGGACAGGCGGAGGACGCTCACGACGGACACGACTACCAGTGCGAGCAGGACGAACAGGCGACGCAGGACGAGACTCAGGCTCACGACGCTCTGTAAGACCTCCTGTGGGACCAGTATAAGGAGAGGGAGCAGGGAGAGGCGAGGCAGGCGGTAACTGTGACTGCGGCTGGACAGGCGGAGGACACTCTACGGAGGGAGGAGGACAAGGAGGAGGAGCCTGCCCAAGAACCTGCTGAAGGAGCGGTACGAAGTACGGTCGCGGCCGCGCAGCGTCTCTAGAAGCAGAAGGGACTCCAGCGGCCGGGTCCTCAGCACCAGTAGGAGCTCCAGCGTCCGGGTCCACAGCACCAGCAGCAGCTCCACCGGCCGGGTCCCCAGCTCCAGCAGCAGCTCCACCGTCCGACTCCTCAGTACCAGCAGCAGCTCCACCAGGTGGGTCCGCAGCACCAGCAGCAGCGCCACCCCCAGAGTCGGGAGCTCCAACTCCGCTAGCACCGCCAACGCCAGAGTCCCCAGCTCCAGCAGCTCCAGTCGCAGCGCTCCCAGAACAGCCAGTCCCGGCAGCTCCAGTACCCCCAGTACGAGCACCCCCAGGACGAGCAACTCCAGCACCCCCAACTCCAGCCGAGCCACTAGGACGGCGAAAGCGTCGGACGTACCAGTCACGAAGCTGCTGCGGTGTGAGAGACTGCTCAGCACCCCGAACCGGAGCACCCCCAGACACAGTAACCCGAGGCTCCGTAGGCTCAGTAGCAGCACCCCCAGGCTCAGTACCCGCAGGCTCAGTACCCGCAGGCTCAGCACCCCCAGTCGCAGCACCCCCAGGCTCAGCACCCCCAGGCGGCAAACTCTCAGGCACAGTACCCTCAGCCCCAGCACCCGCAGTCCCAGCACTCCCAGGCCTCGCACCCGCAGGCTCAGCACCCCCAGGCGCAGCACCCCCAGGCTCCGTACTCTCAGGCACCGTACCCTCAGCTCCAGCACCCTCAGTCCCAGCACCTGCAGCCCCAGCACCCCCAGGCCCAGCACCCCCAGGCTCAGCACTCCCAGCAGCACCACCCGCAGCAGCACCTGAGTCACCTGTGACCTCGACAGGCTCAGCGACGGGAGGAGGGTCTACCTGAGAGACACCTGAAGGAGCAGGACCCTGAGGGGGAAGGGGGTCTACCGGAGGGGGACCAGGAGCAAGGAAAAGCGGCGGGGGAGGGAGGGGGGCAGTGCGGTAGGGGAAGAGACGGTAAAAGGGGACCGACTCGTCAAAGGTGACATCCTGAGAGGCGAAGACCCGGCGCGAGGTGGGGTGGTAAAACTGCCAGCCAGGCGCGTCAGGGACAAAGCCAAGGAAGACACAGGGAAGCGTGCGGGAGGAGAGCTTGTCCGCAGACGTATCGCGGACAAGGGCACGAGCACCCCACACCCGGAAGCGCGACGCATCGCCAACCTCCCCCGTCCAACGCAGTGTGGGCGAGGTCTCCGGCAAGGAGACACGGGGCCAGAGGTTGAGCTGATGCGCGGCGTACCGGACAGCAAACGGCCACAGAAAATGGGGAGCCGCTGCGTGGACCAAGGAGGTACGAGCGACCTCCATGACCAGGCCAATGCGACGCTCAGCAACCCCATTCTGCTGTGGGGAGTCCGGAAGCGTGAAGGTCTGCTCGATGCCCTCCGCCTGACAGAAGGTCCTCAAGAGGTCGGAGGAAAACTCACCACCTCTGTCAGAGTGCAGACGCAGGACAGGAAGATCCGTCCGGAAACGGCGGCGGAGCTGGAGACGAACCGTGCGGATCCAAGGGATCAGAACAGCAGGGACCTCACCCTTGGTGCGCAAGGGGAAGACCGTGGTGTAACGCGAGTAGTCGTCGACAACCAGCAAAAAATACCGCTCACCGCCCTGACCACGAACGCGGGCTGGGCCCCACACGTCCAGGTGGAGGGTCTCCAGAGGAGCCTCTGTCGGGGGGAACGAGGAGGAGTGAGGAGCGGCGCGCTGCCGCCCCTCGACGCAAGGAAGGCAAGGCGGCGCAGGCGAGGCAGGGAGGGGAGGGAGGGACCTGGGAAGACCGGACACAAGGAGGCGACGGTGCATGCCACGAAGGCGTGGCAAGGAGGGGTGACCCAGGCGGTGGTGCCAGAGAAGAGTCTGGTGCGACAGGGAACGACACTCACAGGCGTGGGCCACCAGACCTGACGCAGACACCTGACCGACAGCAGCTACCTGGGGAGACGCAGTGGTCAGTGTGTAGAGACTCGACCCCGGCCGACGGGTGAACGTAGCCAGGTGACGGCCGGTCCTGGAGCACGTGCAGATCGCCACACGCTGTCCGCCAGGGGTAAAGGTGTCAACCCACTGATCCTGGAGGACAGCGTTGCTCACCAAGTTCGTCGAGAACGAGGGGAGGTGGAAACCCGACAACGAGCCAGACGGAACCGCCGGACAAGGGAGGACAGTGGTGGACTGGGCAAGGACTGGGCCCCCAGAGGGGTCAGCCAAGGAGACTGGGACCGGTGCAGGAAGCGGTGTGAGCTCAGTACTGTCACGAAAGAAGCAACGGGAAGCACCTGAGTCAAGGGTGAAGGTGTGACAGGCCTCAGCCGGTGCGGTACCTGAGAGAGGAGTCTGTGTGGGTGCTGTACCTGAGAGAGCAGACTCGAAACCAGCCGGGACAGCACTGGGGGGAGCAAGTACAGGGGGCACCATACCAGAGAGAGCAGACTCACTAGTACCCAGGGCAGCAGGCTCTATACCTGGGTCAGGCGGCACACACAGGTAACAGTCTCCCTCGGCACTAACAGTCAATGCATACATGGCAGCAATAATAGCATCATAGTCAAGAGCAAAGACATCAACACCAGCCCTCATGAGCTCAGCCCAGCGGGGGCGCTCAACATCCGCACCCATCTCCTCACGCCAAGCGTCGTCAAGGCGGGAGAAGCAGCGGTACGGGGTGTGGAACCTCCCACACGTCTGTCCCTTGCGGTCACCTGTGCGAATGACATAAGAACAGCGGGCACTGGCCCCCGACGTCCCACGCTGAGCAAGCCACTCACGAAGCTGCTGGGTCGTCTGGGGACGCTGCTGCTGCTGGGAGCTCTGGCCAGAGCCAGTGCCTCCACTCCGACCTCCGCCGCCACCACTACCACCGCTCCGACCGCCACCGCCACCACCGCCACCACCGCCACCGCCGCCACCGCCGCCGCCGCCACTACTGCCACTGCTCCCTCCGCCGCCCCCGTCTCCACCACCGACCCCACTCCCACCAGCGCTCCCGCCACCGCTCCCTCCAGCACCGCCTCCCCCCCCCCCCCCCCCCCCCCCCCCCCCACCTCCTCCCCCACCAGCGCCACCACCACCACTTTTGCCCCCCTTGCCCTTGCCGGTGCGGCGCCTCCCACCAGGAGTAGAAGCAGCGCCAACAGACTCAGCACCAAGGAAGTCAACAGCAGCAGCAGCAGCGTAGGAGGGAGCGAGGGGAGAGGGAGAACACCCCTCAAAGATGGGGGTGCGAGGAGCGCCACGAGCAGCACCGACAGCTACAATGCTCTTTTCGGCCGCGAGCAGGTGCTCCTCTAGGAGGGCGACTGTGAGCTCAGTGGGACAGCGAGCAAGGAAGTGGTCTCGAACTGAGCGGAGGGTGTCAGGGAGACGGGTGACTATGAAGTGGAGTGTCCAGTACAGTGGAGGGGGGTTCTTAGCGCAGAACTCGGTGGGAAGGGCGGCACGCAGGCGAGCATCACTAGTGCGAAGGTGGGTGATAAGATCGGCGACTGTAGTAAAGGTGGACAGATCGGGGAACAGGTACGGCAGCATGAGGCGGCTAAGCTCGGCTGTGGCAGGCGAGGAGTAGCGAGCGACGACAGCGTCGTACAGGGCCTTAGCGGATTTGCAGTCGCCAAAATGCTCTAGCTCAGCTAACGGCAGGTGACTGCGAATGGCTAGGCGAGCAGCTGCGTCACGAGTCTGCCAGTGGGAACGAACACTAAGCTCAGCTGTGGCAGGAGGGGCAGGCGCAGCACCAGACGCGTAGTCATAGAGCGACACATGCTCCTTGCTATCGCTCAGGAGAAACAGCTGCAGGTCATCTAGCCAAGCGGTGAAACGCACAGGGCGGCCCTCAGTATCGAACGACAGCACGCGAATGGAAGCCATAGCGACAGTGTGACAGAGTAACGCAAGCTGCCGCAGCAGGGGAAGGCGACTGTGCACGGATAGAGAGCAGCGGGCGAGGCTGGCGCTACGGGCAGGCGGCGCTGCAAGCGGTCAGTGCGACGGGAGGGCGACGCTGCGAGCGGGCAGCGCGGCGGACGGGCCGGGAAGCGGGCAGCGCGGCGGGCAGGCGGCGCTGCAAGCGGGCAGCACGGCGGGCGGGCGACGCTGCGAGGCGGGCGGGCCGCAAAGCGGGCAGCGGGCGGCGGGCGGGCTGCGAAGCGGGCAGCGGGGCGAGCGGGCTGCGATGCGGGCGGGCCGCGAAGTGGGCAGCGAGCGGGCGGGCGGGCTGCGAAGTGGGCGGGCCGCGAAGCGGGCAGCGAGCGAGCGGGCTGCGAAGCGGGCGGGCCGCGAAGCGGGCAGCGAGCGGGCGGGCGGGCTGCGTAGCGAGCGGGCCGCGAAGCGGGCAGCGAGCGGGCGGGCGGGCTGCGAGCGGGCGGCTCGGCGAGGGGCGCGCGAGGGCGCTAGTGAGGGGCGCGCGAGGGCGCTAGTGAGGGGCGCGCGAGGGCGCTAGCAAGGGGCGCGCGAGGGCGCTAACAAAGGGGCGCGCGAGGGCGCTAACGAAGGGGCGCGCGAGGGCGCTAACGTGGGTGCGCGCGAGGGCGCTAACGAGGGTGCGCGCGAGGGCGCTAACGAGGGCGCACGAGGGCGCTACGAGGCTAGGGCACGGGGTAGCGTGGTAACCGCATGCGAGCGGTGGTGGGCCCTAAAAAAAACGATCGGTAGGTCCTAGGGACCTCCTGCTCTGAATACCATGTCAGAATCACTAGGCAAGAATGATGAACTAGCAGAAGTTTGGGTACAAATATGAAACCCTAGTTGGGGTTGTACCCCATATTGGCTACCCCACTACAGCCTACAAGCATACTACAGTTTAACAGGCTAGACAAATACAACATTCTGACACACCCCCATAGCCAAAGTGGGGTGTAATCAGCACAACAAGCAGTCATAATAGTAGTTCACATTTTATGAGCAAAGCTAGAGGCAGTCACAGAGGGCAAGTGAGGAGGAGGAGGGCTGGCGAGAGGAGAGAAGAGTGGAGGCGACGACTGAAGCTGCAGACACACGGGCAACAGACGGCTTGTCGAGAGAATTAGGCAAAAGAGGAATGAACTAGCAAGAATGGGGATACAAATAGCAAACCCTAGAAGGGTTGTACTCGCTACAGAGCACCCCACTACAGGCTAGAGCATAATATTCTGACACACCCCCATAGCCAAAGTGGGGTGTAATCAGCAGAGGAAACAAAGCAGTACAAGTTCAGGATGGATCACAATGTCACCACACATTCTGAGCACAAGCAAGAAGCAATAGTTTAAGGTTCACAATTATGAGCAAAGCTAGAGGCAGTCACAGGGGGCAAGTGAGGAGGAGGAGGGCTGGCGAGAGGAGAGTAGATAGGAGGCGACGACTGAAGCTGCAGACACACGGGCAACAGACGGCTCTGGTGCGACAACGTGGCTACCGGGAATGAGTGCCCCGGAGTACAGGAGTAACAGGCTCCGCGGCTAATATGCGCGGCAGGAGCAACGGACCCACAGGCGACGGCGCAACCGGCTCTCTGAGCTACCGGTGGCTAATCGACCCCCGGAATACAGGCGCTGCGGACGACACGACGGCGGCCTCCGCTCAACCTCCTCCAACTGTCCCACACCCCTCGACACACACCCCCTGCTGAACCCCTAGCTCCACTCCCACGGCACCCCCCTTTAAACCCTAACCCTCGGCTCCCACACATCCACCCCCCTCAGCGGCAGCTGCAGCAGTGGGAGACGGCGCACACACACGGCACCCCCATAGCTGCCACCCCCACACTCCTCACCCCCAAACCCTAAAAACGGGCGGAACGGGGGAAGGAGCACGGGGGACGGCGAGGGGGACGGCGCGCGGCCCCCAGGACGCCACCACGGGGCAGCGAGGGGCCGCGCGCGGCTCCCCAGGGCGGCGCGACGGGAAATCGAGGGGGGGGGGGAGGGGCCGCGGGCGACGGGATCGCGGGGCCGCGGGCGACGGGATCGGGGGGCCGCGGGCGACGGGATCGCGGGGCCGCGGGCGACGGGACCGGAGGGCCGCGGGCGACGGGATCGGGGGGCCGCGGGCGACGGGATCGCGGGGCCGCGGGCGACGGGATCGGGGGGCCGCGGGCGACGGGATCGCGGGGCCGCGGGCGACGGGATCGGGGGGCCGCGGGCGACGGGATCGGGGGGACGCGGGCATCCCCCACGGGAGGAAACCGCCGCGCGCCTCGGGGCGCACGGTGGGGAGAAACCCGCCGCACGCCCCGAGCGCGCGGCGGGATGAAAAATCCGTGAAAAAAAATTCGCGGCAGGAAGGAGGCGACGCGCGACCAGTAGAACAGCAGCGGAAGCATTTGGTGGTGGGCCCACCCACAGGATCGACCCAACAGGATCGTCCTGCTCTGATAGCATGTCGAGAGAATTAGGCAAAAGAGGAATGAACTAGCAAGAATGGGGATACAAATAGCAAACCCTAGAAGGGTTGTACTCGCTACAGAGCACCCCACTACAGGCTAGAGCATAATATTCTGACACGGCTCTGGTGCAGCTCTAGTGGCTACCGGGAGCAAGGGCCCCGGAATACAGGAGTAACAGGCTCTGCGTCTGATCAGCAGCGACAGGAGCAACGGACCCACGGGCGACAGGTGCAACCGGCTCTCTGAGCTACCGGTGGCTATCAGAACCCCGGAATACAGGCGCTGCAGACGACACGACGGCGGCCTCCGCTCAACCTCCCCCAACAGTCCCACACCCCTCGACACACACCCCCTGCTTCGCCCCTAGCTCCACTCCCCTTTCACCCCCCTAGTACCACTCCGTCGGCTCCCCACACACCCACCCCCCTGAGCGGCAGCTGCAGCAGCGGGAGACGGAGGAGGAGGAGAAGGAGGGGACGGGGCACACAACCGGCACCCCCACACCCGCCACCCCCAAACCCTAACACAGGAACGCGGGCAGTAGCGGGGGTGGGGCGCCGACAGAAGCTTGGGGGACGGACGAGGCGCGCGCACGGGTCTGCCGCAGCGGACGAGGCGCGCGCAGGGCTGCCCGGGCCGCGCGGGGCCTGGCGCAGCCCGTACGGGCCGCGCGCGGGTCCCAGGGGCGCTTCGACGGGCGACGGGGACGTTTCGACGGGCGACGGGGGGCGCTCCGACGGGCGACGGGGGCGCTTCGACGGGCGACGGGGGGGGGGGGGCGCTTCGACGGGCGACGGGGGGCACTTCGACGGTGGGAAACCGCCGCGCGCCTCGGGGCGCACGGCAGGCAGAAAACCGCCGCACGCCCCGAGCGTACGGCGGGATGAAAACCTTCAAAAATTTTCGCCGCGCGGAGCGCGCGGCAGGAAGGAGGCGTCGCGCGACCGAGGCGCGCGACAAGTAGAACAGCAGCGGAAGCATTAGGTGGTGGGCCCACCCACAGGATCGACCCAAGGGGGTCGACCTGCTCTGATAGCATGTCAGAAGTAGTAGGCAAAGTTTAGAAACAGAAAGAGGGTTTGGACTAGCAGCAGTTGAGATACAAATAGCAAACCCTAGATTGGGCTGTACTCGCTATAGAGTACCCCACTGCAAGCTAGACAATACAACATTCTGACAGTTCTC